CACTGCTCAGAAAAATTTAAAAATGAGAAAACTGTATGACCTTCAATGAAAAACATGTTTATTAGCAACAAGAGAAAAGTTACAGTAAAAGACAGGATACAAGCAGAATTGACTCAACCTCATGTAGTAGATTTACATTGCATGACTTTTCTTTTCTACTTTTGTCTGGGGGGGGGCTTGATTGATAAACAGAAATGGCTTTACCTACATCCAATTATCTCTCAGTCATGGCTTCAATGTCACGGCTGCTGAATGAATGGGGGGGGGGTGTGGCTGTCATGGGTGTGGCTGTGCACAAAGAAATAAACAAATTCCAAAGAGGATGCAACATGCGCCCCTTTCCTTTTGGATCAACTGTACCGACACTACACACTGTACCCTGTGTGTATGTGTGGGCGTGTGTGCAGCTTCTTCACTCGGTCAGGCTTTGCCAACAGCAAGGCCCTGAGCTTTCTGATACTCCTGCTGTAAACTAGACAGGACTTCTCTGTGCTGATCGGATTTCTTCTCCATCTCTTTCAGGAGCGCCTCATACCTTTGACTGTGACAGGAGAAAAAAAACACAGGGAAAGAGAATAACACAAGATAAATTTTACAATACTACAGAAATACCAGAAAACACACTTTTGAGATCAGGTGTTTACACTGAATGCACTCACACGAAAGAGGCCGCTCACAGCTCTATATGTTATTCCCTATTTTGACACACAGCTATGGTAAGCATACTTCTATGAACTGCTAGTGAAAATACTACAAAAATGATCCATTGAATATGAGGAGGCTTTTCAGAACACACAGTCACAAATGGTCAACTGAGACAGTTCCTCACACATCTAAACATACAGCTCTGACACAGAGGACGGATATGTTGATACTTTCTACTCTCTGTTTCTTTGAATATGAAGAGAGGCATGTTCAAGGGGATGAGGATTGTTTAATAAAACCTCCACGGTGTTAACTGACAGAGGATAAATGTAAATTATATAAGATATAAAGACTGAACATAGAGCTGGGCCAAATGGAAAAAACTTTTCTCATATCTGTCGATATTGATAAAAATGGTGATATAAATCATATCAGTACCACAATACTTTGTTGAGTCACAATATGTGGAAAGAACTTCTCTTCTGTCTGCAGGAGTGTGTGTGTCTGTGTGTGTGTCTGCCTGTCTCTGTCCCTCCTCAGATACAATCCGATGATCACATTTATTTAGTTATTAATCGATGATGTCTGACAATGACTCCAGATCCTTTTGGTCACTTTGACACTGATGTCCTGTCTGTGTGTGTTACGTCTAATGTTGTGTAGCAGGTTTTAACATGTGGCTCATAAACTCTGGAACGTTTATGGGTGTTGTCTGTCAAGACATGGAAGAACTGAGTTCTATTGACCGTGTCTTCAATTTCTGTCGAGGAAAAGTTATATCGCGATAATTACCACTATTGTTTTATCGCCAAGCCCTAACTGAACTACATGTCCCCCCACACACACTTTCTGTCCTCCTTCTGCAGTTATCTGTCTGCATGCTCCAGATCTGACACTACTCAACTAGTATTATTACTATCCTATCATTTATTATCAGCATTAACTACATTAATACAATACTATTAACTGGTGCTGCTTTCATTAATACAATCAATACATCTATAAGTATCACTAAGTGAAATCTATCACAGGGAAAATCTCTCCCCTTCTCGTGCAACATTACAGCAGCATGTGTCAAGACACAGACTGGGAGTTACCTAAGTCATGATCATTACAGGACTGACAGATATAAAAAGTATGGACTAATCTATGTACTACTATATCCCTGATGATTTTGAAATACTGGTGTCATGTTTACACATAAGGCTAATGAGGGGACGTGAGAACCAATGTTTCTTTTGTATATACCAGGTATTTCTGTGCTCTATAGCACTACAGGCACGAACCAAACTTCAGTGACTCACATTTCTCCTTTAATATATTCCAGCCTTTTTGCAACTGTGGCTTTGGCCTCGTCCTGATCTTGTACCACTAACACAGGACCAATAAGTTTATAAACTGTGTTTGTGCTGTTCAGCAGATCCAGCTCCTGGAAAGAGAGAGACAGAGAGAGAGATGAGATCTTAAATACTGATCACTGCCTGCATGCAACACGTGAAGGACCTGGAATCTGTTGCCAATGCAGATAAGAGAAGTAAATACTTATTGGTCAGCTAAAGAAATGGCATATTGATAATCAGATATGTGCACATTAGACTAACTACTGACTTTAGCTGCCTGTCTGCAGTTTGTCTTTGTTGGTTTTTACCTGCTGTGCTCTGTCACATATGTTGTGCTGTTGCTTCATTGTTCATGTCTGAATATTAGTCTGTATACATTACTCGTAAGTGTTGACTAAATCAAATCATTTTATTTTAATTTTAGGTTGCCATTTTAAAAACTGTCCAGTGACAACATCTGAAAACTAGCCTGTTGAGCTAACTCTGGCTCATTTTGCTGTTGATTAATGAGCATTGTCCCTGTCAAACAAATAAACAAATAAATGAAATGGCAATGACCAACAACGTGTAGTCCACTCATGTAGCATTAGACATTAGAAGGAGAGGTTACCTCTTTGACAAAGTTGTTCTCTGTTAGCTGCGCCTCCAGCTTCTGTCTGGCTGACACGCTCTTGCTAACATCTGAATGACAGACAGACATTAGGTGGTCAGTGAGTTATCGATCACATGTATTTCAACAATACAGGTTAGACATTTCTGAGCGTAATAACTAGTTTAAATGTGTATGACATGTTATCGTCGCGTGTTTCATGTGCGTCCAAATATGGTCAGCTAGCTTGTTCACTACAACATGGCTCGATGTGTGCAAGGAAAAGGACTCACCTTTCTGCATCTGTGTATATATTTCTATCTCCGCTTTTATTTTCTTTTGAATGGCCTCTGCCATGTTTGCGTTGGCTCAAATAAACCCCGGGGGAACGAAGTGTTGATTTAGAATGAGCGGATTGCTAAATGTGGTATGACACGAAGGTGCAGCGGTAGCTAACAGGAAGAGGCAGTAGCTAGAGCGGAAGTCAAGTCGTGTCTTCAAAGTAAGAGCCCTTACTGCATCACAACAGTATTCACAACAGATTAACTCGCACAAGTTTACTGCATGTAAAACAAAATTAACATTAAAAGTGATGATGAGATGGTATTTGATCTACGTGTGTTCTGGTCGCCTTCTTTTCCGTTTGTGAATTTATTTTGACAGCGTCACGGTTGCGGCTCTTTACGACACTGTTTTACGGCAGTGCGCTCAGTTCCTCATCGCCTCGGTTCAAGATGGCCTCGTCGTTTTGGAAAGGTGTCGTCGGTGTCGGACTATTTGCCTTAGCCCACGCAGCTTTCTCAGCGGCACAGCGTGAGTATCAGGGCGGGGGGTTGAAGGCCAGTCTGCGGGTGTGTGTTTGCTCCCGGCCGGCGGGCTCGGTTGTTCCCCGGCTTGGTGATAAAACAGCAGGACGGGCCTCTCGGCTAGCGAGCTAACTGGATGCTAACGCTGCTCAGCCCTGAATCAGACAAATACACATTTTTATCTGTTCATTTGAAAACGTCACCGTCAGTGATACGTTAACGTTTATGTGAATTACACAATCTTCCATTTTAAAGATGACTTGTTTCAAATCAATCCATCTTCTTTCTGTCATCAGATCGATCATACATGCGACTCACAGAGAAGGAAAACGAGACACTACCAATTGATGTGAGTGACTTTCATCCTCCGAACAGGAATCTTCGACCTCCAGTTTACAGCCCAGCCTCCAGATGTCCCCTCTGTTCACCACTGTCCCTCTCTCCTGTTGCAGATTGTATTACAGACCCTGTTATCGTTTGTGATGACCTGTTATGGTATTGTCCACATCGCTGGAGAGTTCAAAGAAATGGACGCCTCCTCAGAGCTGAAAAACAAGTAGGTCTTTTCTGCCCTGCAGCACCTCACTCCCCTGGTGTTAAGTAGCTGTGTTTGTCCTGTGCCACAGAGGACACATGGACTTCACCACCTGCATTGTTTTTATAGCAACGTTACTTTGAGTCAGGTCCCACAGAGACACACACACACACGTCCCTCTGTGGCTGCTGAGTTACACTGTTGTCTGTGTTGTGCAGGTCCTGTGTAGCTCATTCACACAGCGTCTTAAACATGGGGTTATTGTTTAGCTTCGTTGATCATTGAGTCTAAGAAAAAAATGGGAAAAACAGGGACAATAGTGTTGACAGTTTCTGAGGCCACAACAGATGGCAGTCTCATCAGCAAATGGTAAATGCTCTGTATTTATGTAGGTCTTTAATAGCCTTTATGGCCACGCAGAATGCTTTACAGTGCAGTTTTGCCATTCACACAAATTCATACATTAGTGACATTAGTAACACTTAGAGGCAACTGAAGGATCTTGCCCTAGAAAACTTCGGCATGAGGAGGAGAGAGACTCAATGAGCCTTTATATGACAAAGGAAATACAACAAATGATCATATTTTTTTAAAGAGTTGAATAAAATAAACTTTCAGTAGGCTGTGGATATATAGTTTGTATTAAAGAAACGTCCCAGTAAATGGCAAGAAATAAAAATAAAGAATATTTTTCTTTGTATTTCTTTTTACAGTTTTTCTTTATGCAGGGTTTCTACAGGGTCTTAAAAAGTATACATTAAGATAATTTGATAAGATAAATTCATTGTGTTAAAACCTGCAGAAACTCTGTTTTAGTAAATTCCAAATGAGTTTTAATTCCCATCTATCAAACCCATTTACTGTGCATCAAAAAATTTTAACGGGTTCCATGTGAAATCATTGCAAAGTTATGCAAATGAAACGTTTTGTTTTCTTAAAACTAAAGTTAATCTGCAGTATTAGATGAATTACTGCATCACTACATGACGTGTTGGTTGTTTACATTTACCTCCGTCTTGTTTCTGAGCACGAATGTTACAACAAAAGATGACTTTATCTTTCTAAATTTTGATTATGTTTTGATTAATCGTTCCGTTCATGAAAAGTCAGGAAATATAAAGAAAATGTTATAACAGTTCTTCTGAGTTCAAGGTGACCAGCAGGTGTAGCATTCACTAGGGGTGGCTGTGGCTCCGAGGAAGAGTGGGTCAGTGGTGGGATCCGGCTCCTTCTGTTCGCATTCAGATGTGTCCTTGGGCAAGAGTCTGAACCCCAAGTTGCCCCTGATGGCTGTGATGAAAATATAGAAGTGTCTAAATGTGTTTATGTGAATGGGAATATGTGACTTTACTGTACTGGAAAAGCTCTATTCAAGTACAGTCCATTTACCATTTCCAGTTCTATAAAACAGAAGAGCAAAGACGTTGACTGATAGGGGATTATTTCTTTGTAACACATGGATTATAATTCACTGCTGAAGTCGGTGTCCAACATGTGCATTTCTCCCTGTTCATCAACACCAGCTCTTTCATAACTAAAATCTTTTTTCTTCCCCCAGAACATTTGATACACTGAGGAACCATCCATCCTTTTACCTTTTCAATCACCGGGGCCGGGTGCTTTTCCGCTCGCCGGAGGAGGAGCCCTCCTCTGCATGCAACCAGCAAGCTCTTCTCAACCCCATACGACTACGCAAGCTGGAGCATTTGCACTGAGACTGGCCTTTTTCCTGCCTGTAACATCATCTACGTCAGATAAGATTTGTTTTTGTTAGACAGAGGGAGGGCAAAGTGAGAGTTCATCTTCCCTGTACTTTTATATATTAACTAATATGCTGTCCAAACTGTCATCTGTCCATAGAAGTGGTCACTTCCATCTTCAACACTGACTGTGCCAACCCTTCAGTTCTTCAAGCAGATTTTGTTTGTATATACAGTATGTAAATGCTTTTGAGTCTTAAGATACCGAGACATCTCCCCCCTCCTGTCCCTTTTGAACCAAATTGGGATATTGCTGTACTTTGTATATCCTTTGTGTGAGGGGCATAAAAGCACTTGTTGGGTTCCTGTTTTAATTTCAACCACACATCAGACTTGAGCTGGGCAGATTTTTTTTTGTTAACAGAAATGCGTTGTGTTGTATGAACTGAGGACCCTTCATTTCCCGGATGATTTCCTTGAAGCGTAAATGCTCATCTGTACATCCTGTATGCAATAAAGAGGTTTTATTTATGCCACAGGAAATCAGCGTAAGGTGAGACAACATCAGATGAGTGTTCTAATGATACTGTGAACAATAAGGCAAAGTAGAAAGAAGAAAGTCATGGTACATTCATTTGGGTGAAGTTTATTTTTCCTTCATTTTACATTTTGTTAAGATTCAACAGATTGTTTTTAATTTAATAAAAAGGCGTACTGATTTTACCTGCGGTGTCAGAATCTGTTTTGTAGATTTGCCTCTGCTCATATTCAGAGGCTGTGAAGTTGTTTCTCTCCGAAGTGAGTAAAAGAGAAAAAACAGGAATGCATCATTTATTTAAAAAAAAAAAAAGGGTGTATGGTTATGATCATAATGCTATGAAATGACTGCATGCAGAGGAGGACTATAAGGGTGACCTTGCAGCTGGTTTGCTGCATCAGTTAAAAATTCCACCTGACCCAAAGATGTGCAGTTGTTCATGTTGGCCTCTAGGTGTCAGCAGTGTCTGAATGTTATCCAGGAAACCTCTCAAACTTATTTTCAGCTGAATGTTTTCCTGACTGAACATATCTGTGGTTAGTTCCAGTTAATATAAGTTTGTTAATTCAGATGGATTTATTAACCTTTGAGGAAATGGGTTGTGTGCTTCCAGTAGATCATTGGGTCAATTGATGATGAAAAAGACAGAAATGCAGGAAAACTGGTTTGTTTTCTCACGTGAATCAGATTTTTTTTTCACCTCAGGCCTTAAAAGGATGCTGATGAAATGTAAAACACTTTGGTTAAACTGATGACTGCCATGACATACCCCTACAGGTGTCTAACATAAACCTACACACACACTGCAGCTGATAAGAGGCTGCAAGGAAATGTGTACTCATCCTTGATATGTACTTAGAAAAAAACTTCTCATCAATTCTGTTCAGTCTAAATTTAAGGTTCAATAGATTAGTATGCAGATACAAAACAAAACTATTGCTGATTTTCTGACTGACAATAAGCTGAGTCGAGTTCATCATTTTTAAAACCCAGAGAATGTTGGTGAGATCAGTGACCAGGTCTGTAGAATAAAAGGGCATTCGTAGAGCAGATACCTCCACTTAGGCTGATTGGCCACTTGACCAACATATTGGACATACACTCACTTCAGTATCTGGATCTGCAGCAAAGATGTCTGCATTATTTCTTGAGAAAAACACACCTCATCTTGCAACATTAAAGAAAGTGAAAAAAAATCCTGGATCTGTCTTTCCATAGAATCAGTTTAGTAGTTTTTGCTAAATCTTGCTAACAGACAGACGAACAGCAAAGATAGTATAACCTCAGTGACGGAGAGAATAAAACCTGTGGATGTGTTTATAGAAATACACTGAGTCACACACTGACAGTTAAAACCATTCTACCAGTGGTTTATTTTTTGTTTTCTTAAAAAAATGGAGCATGTTCATAAAACTTTACACTTTTGTATATGCATTTAACAGTTTACAAAATTGGCTTTTAAACATTTCCTTTGAAAATAGTTTATATACTCTGAAATAAACAAATTCACAAAAATAATCTATATTCCTTATGAACATTAAAAAGTACTGTACAACTGTGGTAAAAACGAGGAGAACGAAGGAGGAGTGCTGACTGTGGTTTGTGTGAAGAGCAGCAGAGGGCGGATAACCAGCTGTTGAGTCCAACAACAGATGATCGTCCACTGAGCACACATGCACAGATTCCTCTGAATAAAGTTGTAATTCTGGGAATCAATGGAGTGTTTGTTGTGCTGAGGAGGAAGTGTATGTGTGTGTGTGTGTGTGGTGAGGGGGTTACCCCCTCTTAATGGATACCAACAGCTGCATTCACTGAACCAATGTTGTGCTGCTGTGATGGCAGGTAGGACGACACCGATGCTCAGTCAGTAAATCAGTCTTGTGTTTGGTCCGTTCTGAGTACAACTCACTAATGTGTAAAAAAAACACACAAAAACCTGATGCTTCTACATTCTAGACTATTGTATGACATTTGTTTCCCGGAGTGATTCAGTACAACTGACCTTTCGGAACATATTGGACCCAGTTTGGTCATTTAGAGACTAAATGACTTTAAGAGAGAAGTGTTTGAAGTTTCACCTTTATCACAACAGATTAGAGGTGGGCAATATGGCCTCTGAGTTCAGAGAAATGTGTCTACCATTCAACATTCACCTTTATAATATATAGAGGTAACTATCTCTTTAGTATGGAGCCCGACAGGTGATACTTTTTATCTTGTGCGCACATGATGATAAATATCTCATGTGAACAAGTTAATGTGCAGCAAAAGATTTCTGATGATAATCGTGTCTCTCTGTACCCTCCAAGGTGAAATAAAACCTGATAAGCAGATTTCTCACCGCTACGGTGATACCACTTCATCGACAATATGAAGTCGATTAATTATTAAAAAATTAATAAGTTGTGGGCACAATTATTTTTATCTTGTGCGAATAAGATAAAAAACTATCACCTGCTTTGTAATTCAATGTATTTTTTTCCTATCATCTTATTCTGTTAAAAGCTTCCAGAAAAAATACTGTTTGGTTTGTCATCCCTTCAGGCTGCTGCATCCAAAAACACTAAATCTGGACAACTGACTTCACAGTCACTTTTTTAGGACTCTATTAAAGTCATTTTTATTGACAGCTGCTTTTTGACTCACTGGGATCAACCAGCACTCTTTGTGTGTCTGTCTTTCTGCTGTCCTTTTGTATTGTTGTTCTACGGCTGCTGCTGTTTGTGCTTTGCCTGTTTTCCTTGCAGCTTGTGCACACTACTCTTGTTCTGCTGTAGTATCGTCTGATGCTTGTGTGATTACCTGCGTGTAATTCAAGTAATGCTTGTCGTCATATGTTATGCTGTTTTGTTGTGTATTATGGATGAGTGCACCGAAACGTAATTTAAGGTGTGTGCTGCTGTCCTTTTAGTGTTTTGCCCTTTGCCAGGCTGCTATTGTAAATAAGAATTTGTTTTAATGACTTGCCTGGTTTAATAAAGGTCACTGACTAGACTGACCAAAAATATACATTTCCATCGGGTATTTTATGGTTGAAGTCCCCCTCCAGTGAAATTCATGTTTTTAAACATGTTAACATGTCCTTCTTGGGCCTTTTATGAGAGAACACAGCAGTAAACCAATGCCAATGTGAAAAAAATGGATTCAATTGACCAGGAAGTTTTAAAGTCACAAACCTAATGACCCCAATCCTGTCAACTTGTGGGTGGGGCTCAGGAGCTGGAAAAGGCTCCTTAACTGCAGGTGGCGCTGTGAGGGTGGGGAGACAGGGAGCGGGGGCAGGGCCATATTAGTGTTACATTTGAGCCATTTCAAGGCCGTGATGGGAATTTTTGAAAGTATCAATTGAAGTTTCAGTATGTGATGATATACTACATTATATATTGCTAATGCAACATAAAAGCACATCATCATCATCCTTTGATCCATATTGCCCACCCTAAATGTTAATGCATATCAAGATAATCCAATGATTATTATCCCAGTGAAAATGTTCAGTACCAGTATCAACATCAGATATTAACACTAAAAACATGAGGGGAACCCTGTTGGATCAGATTCCTCCTGTCGGTCATACAGCTACATGATATTAATTACTCTAGAAAAACTGGTCGCAGTCTTACAAACACTTTTCAGACCAGCTGAAGAAAGGTGTTTTTTTAAAGAATAACAACAACAGGAATAATCCATCCTGTCCACGCCTTCCTCTGCTATTGAAGGATCTGTTGGTTTGCTGTGTCGGAGTGTATTTGTATGTGTGTGTATCTGAACAATGTGCTGATACAGACAAAAGCCGTATGGATGTTTAAGGCATCTGTCAATATAAAGAGGATTATATTTAAAGTCTCTTTAGTCATCCTCAGTGGATTTGTGCTGGAGGCCCCTCCTCCAGTAAACCCCTGACCCTCCGCCTCTAACAGGATGTGATGTAACAGCACAGGGACAGTAGGAGCTTCTGCTCTCAGTGCATTTGTCCTTTTTATGCCTACAGCTTCTCAGTCTTTTTGAGGCAGGTCAATGAGGACGTCTTCGATGGTGGTGATAATTAACCGTGAACAAAACGTACTTCAGTAACAAAGCAGAGATGGCTTCATGACTATGTGCCATTATCGTTGGAAAGCTGCAAGGACGCTGCATGCTTCTCCTCCAACTCAGCAAGGATCAACTCCAGCTGCTGGATCAGAACCCGCTTCTTGAACCTGGCAACAAAGTGAGAAGAAGCACTGAAATACATATGGAAACAGTAATTGTACTGCAAATTACTATAAACTGTAATTATACTGCAAATTTAAGTCAAGGAAATTAGAAAGCTTCTAGAAACAAGCCAGGGAGGATTCTTTACGGTTAAGTTGCACTGAAATGCAATGAAAAGGTCTTAATGACATGCTGTTGAACATTTGTGTTGTGTGTCAGAGACAGGACTGCTGCCATGCTTTAAAAAGAGCAAAACTCTTCCACTTAATCCTATGATGAAAAAACAGAGTCCCTCTTACCTGATGGCCTCTTTGATGGCGTGTTGGATGAAGTACCTCTGAATATTAAGAGGCCCCTTCACCTGCTGCAGGAGTGACTGTATTGCATCGTAGTCTGAGAAAAAGTACAGAGAAACAGACAAAGTTGAAGAAACTGTTCAAAAGTTCCCAACATGGCATCTACATATATTTAACTAGGACTGTATATTAGACTTTGTACTTCACTGTTAACAGCAATATTCTTAAGATTTAAAAATATTCTCAGGTTAGGAGGCAGATTACATTTTCACATATGACCAACAATTCCTCAAATCTGAAATATTATTCTGAAATATTATCAAAATATTCATCTGATGGAGGTGACATGGCCCTGGTGAAGTTGACCCATATCTGACGGTGGTGACAAAAACTTACATTGAATCAATCAATTACAGCAATAAACTTATCATTATAAAAATTGTATTCACAATTGTGTATTTCATTTTCACTTTGGATTCCAATGGACCCAGCGTTTTGCATTTCAGAGCAAATTGCCGCTTTTATTTCAGGAGCCAGTATTGGCTATGCTTCCAATTCTTTCTCCTTCAGTCAAATCCTTTATTTCCTTTTTTTATTACTTTAACTCACTGTCTCTGCCTCTCATGTCTTATAAATTCTTCTTTGAATTCTGTCTGTGTACTGATTTTCTCTCTCTCCGCTTTTTTGATACTCGCTGTTTGTCCGGTGACGGATGTTGCCTAGCCATCCTGGCCATAAAAAAAAAAACAGGAAACTCTCAATATAATTAATCATATTTTCCTGTACTAGAGACGAAGTGTGTCTATATAACTTCACCATTATGTGTGTGTAAGGCATGTTCCCTTAACCAAACCCTGAGTTGATGACTATCTATTCACAAAAACAATAAAAAAGCAGAAAATGCTGATGCCACATTTAGTATTTATATATTTGACTTAAATTACTCAAAAAACTTTCCAATACATTTTCTTCTGGAGAAACAGACAAACAGATATGAACCGCCCTACTCAGCTAACTCTTATATTTTTTCTTATCCTAACTAACCAATCAGAGGCAGAGTAAGGCAGGCAATGCTTTTGCTGTCCTAGGAAAAAATTGGTTTGTAGTACACGAATGAATGATGCGCACAACAGGCAATTTAGAAGTGGTTAGCTAGGCTGACTGAAAAATAAGTGGGTATACACTGCATACCTGCGTATACCCTGCACTACACTACTGGCTCTACTGCTCATACTCACTTCGTCCAGGCTTGCGGACTTCCTTTATGACCCGCGTCCGCAGCTCTGCTTGGCTTCCATCTAGTGGTGCTATGAAAATGGTGTCCAGCACTGCCGGGTCAGGGTCAGGGTCAGTGTCCTCGAACTCGCTCTGCGGACTCAGTCGTTCACAGTTGTGTTTATCCTCCAGTGGCTGCTCATCTAGACAATCCTCCACTAGTCTCTCCTCCGCCAAGTTGATGTCCTCTTCCTGATCAGCTGGTTCAGGGTGGGAGACCCTGGACTTCTCCTCGAGGGTCAGTGAAGGTGAGTTTCCTACTACAGGGTCCAACTCAGTGGGCCAGATCTCCCCCGACTCAGGCCCAAGGCCCCCATCGCCATTACTCTCAGGGACCACCAAGTTGTTGCCATCCACTTCTGCAGAGGTGACAAAGAATTATTTACACTTACTTTCTCAGTGACTTTCAAGCAGTAATGTAACATCAATTCCACTTTGTGTATAAATAGTCTTACCTTTGTGCTGTGGGATGGGTTTGATGAGATTCTGCTGCCCTTGAACCCCCATCGGAGTCTTTCCCACCACCACATGGTTGGTGTTCCCTGGTGGAGTCTGCGGTCGCCGCAGCAAAGGGGACATACTTCGCCTTCTCTTCACAGTAGCGCTCGAGTTGGAATCATTGGAATTTCCTCTTTTCTTATTTTGAGGGCCTGTGACAAACTCATCTGCCTCATCGATCATCATGCCCTGAGATACAGGTTTTAGAGAACAGAACATTTAAGGATGACATTAAAAGAAAACATTAAATGGATAGTTCACTGAAAATTGAACATTGCACCTCCTCCAGAGAAAATACGGAGGATCTGCGGAGTTCAGCGCATGTCTGAAAGCAGCTTATGTGGACATATCTTTACCTTCTTATCCTGTTTGAAAGGATTCCCAAATGTGTGTAGACGTTTCGGTTGGTCGGGGTCAATCTCTCTCAGAGGAGAAGGCATCATTTTTAGGTACTCCTGATAGTTTCCCATCTGTGCCACTGGAATACTGTGAAGATAGTCTAACAACCACAAGGAGGTTTATTAGCATGAATAAAATACTAAATGAATTACACAGGATTTCCTATAGAACTTTTGTGTTGGTGGTGGTCATTATCATTAAATATTGATTTTGTTGCAGACAGTGCTGGGTATGTTTTAAAAATATTACTGCTGCAATTACCAGAGATGACAATTCAAAGAAGCAAACTCCCACATTGACCTCCAGGAGAGTAAAATAAATGTAAACCCTGGGTGGGTAAACCTCACATACCTTCGTCTTGCCCTCGAATCAGTTTCTGTGATGTCCGCAGCAAATTGGAGCGCATTCGGGTGAGCTGGTCTAGAAGGTTCCGTCTAGGGATGTCGTAGGCATTTCGATAAGCCTGTGGTTTTACATCCTGTGAACACGTCAGTAAATCTAATCAGAGAAAACCCACCAAACTGTGCACATGCCCTGTTTTTTTCCTGTAACTTAAAGTGTGTCACACTCTTCAGAAATGTCCTTGCTGTCCTAAATCTACCTTGTTGAGCAGTGCGATCTGGAAGCCAGCAAACTCTTTGAAGTTGATATCCACGAGTCGAAGAGGCCCCTCCCCAGTGATTCCCTGCAGCAGCTGCTTGAAGTCTCGTCGGTGGGCTAGAGACAGAGAGCTGGAGTGGTTCTTCACCTTGATGCCAGTTTCTTGAGGAGCTTTCTTCCCCACGGACACGATTAAACGGTCTGACTCAATCTTTGCCTTTAGTTCAATAAAAAAAAAAAAAAAAACATTTTACTGTCTTTCCAGATGATCAAATTCACACCTGAATGAAATTTTGGTTGAGAGTACTGTTGGTAGCACAGACACATTTAAGGATTATGGAGTCTTTTGTCCTAAATATGAATGTAAAACCTCAAGAGAGTTTGTTCCTTTATATATAGTCTAATTTAGAAAATATGTTTACATTAATATTAGAAGTATAAACATCATGTAACTCCTCTACTCATAACAGAAAAAAAGGGAATACTGTTTTTCTAACTGAGACAACTTGCTCTGTGCCTGTTCTAAACATTCCTGTTTGGTATGGGCTGTTTACTTGGCCTGTCGTAATGCTGGTTGCAGCTTTCTTTCTGAAACTGAACCATGATACTGCACCACCACTGCTGTCCACCTGTTTATTCAAAGTTCAGTGAAGATGGACTCAGTACGCAGAAACTTCTACTGGTTAAATCAGTTGTTGATGCAGTGATTGACAATGTCACAAACGTTGATGAGTCCCAGTTCCCACTGCTAGAGTTTATTCATAATGAACCTATTGTGTGTCCAAAACACCACACATGCCTAGTGTGAAGGTGAGAATATGAGCGATACAGAATGGATTCACATTTGACTGATTCTTTTTTTCTGCACAAATTATATTAGAGCAAAAAGACGCAGCGTATGTAGTTATAGTTTCAGTCTAAATTTAAAGGCTCAATATGTGTTTTTTAAACATTGAAATTGCAGTCATATTTACATTATACACAAGTTTGATTTAATTTTACTTATATATGTACTATATATAATTTGATTTTGTTTTGTGCTTATAAATGTTAGTAAAGGAATGAAACTTTTACAGCATCAGAATAATAAATAACCAATTTCTTAGGTTGTGGTATTGATGTCAATCAATTTGAAGTGAGAATTTTCTTCTGGAGTAAAGATGATCTTCCATTGTCAAGAGCACTTTGACAATGGATGAACACACTGGTTGATTATCCCAGCTTGGACTTTTTTCTCCACTTCTACTATATTTGTCACACTACATGGTACTGATGTTAATGGAAGCTGTGAGTGAGGAGTCGTTACCTGCTGACTGAGCTTCTTTAGATAAGAGATGACACTGTAACTCAGGCCGCAGTCCATCGTGTCTGCTATCAGATTAGGTGCACCCATCATCCTCAACGCCTTTTTTAAGGGCTGTTAGATAAGCAGTTTTAATAGTCATTAATAAATAAATGGATTAAACATTTAACAAAGGAAGCATAAGTGACATAGCATCTGCTTACCATGAGGTAGTATGGAGGCATCGCTTTCAGGTACATTTCTAAGGCCTGACGCCACTTGAGGTTTGGTTTTAGTTTGTGCACTTTAAACAAATCATCTGAAAGGAGAAAAAGAAGAGAGGGATGTCTGAGAAAAAGAAAGGTTTTTTCTTGTTCTGGATCAGTGATCAGTCAGCCGTCCAGCTGCAGCTCCTCTTGCTGCTGTACACACAATATTTAAGTGGTGGGTCTAAAAGCATCAAAACACACACTACCTTTTATCCAATCTTAAAAACCCACCATTTACTTGTTTTACAATGTTATTAAAGATTAACACTTATATTTGCTCTGTTATGACCATGTTATTTGTGCTTATGTTTAAAACTAATGCACTAAAGATGTATGCAGATAGCAAAGTGCCCCAGAAAAAAAAATCTTTTTCACTTTCAATATCAGCTCTGACTCAATGACCCAGAATGTTTGAGGCCAATTAAACTAAACAATTAACTGTCACACGTCTCACCGAGAAGTGGGAGAAGGACTGGGAAGTTAAAAGGCATGACGAACAGGTTGACACAGGTGAGAGTGGTGCTGGCTTTAAGATAGCCAAACGGCTGTCCCAGGTCATTCTGCTTCCCACTGCTGCTCACAAACACCTGAGGACAACAATGGAAATAGCAGATTGTAGATATGTTTCTAGTTCTTTCGTAAATAGCTGGTTTTCAGAATAGTCAACAGCAGTGAGAACAGAAACAACTCAACAGAGCTGATTGGTGTGTGTATGTACAGTACCTGCCAGCACATGTGTGGAGATTTCCGTTCCAGAATGTACTGGGTGAGCGGAGAGGGCTCCAGTTCATACTTGTCAAAGGGAAGTTTGTCAATCACCATGGGCTCACAGTCCACACAAGAGAAACGCACCATGGGGTGAGCAGAGCGAGGTGGCTGAGGACAGGAGATGGAGAAATTCTTATTTTCTGTGATATGGAGCCATGTGACATATTTGCATCAAAACACTGAAGCTTTACAGAAAATCTAAATCACAGAGCAAGTTGGCTACAGGATGATATTGGCTATGAGTCAAAGTTACTGACAACTGACAATAACAACTGCCGATAAAAGTGAGAAGGGCGGGAAGATAAGAGTGAAAGTAAAAGAGCAGGTTTGTGTGTAAATGTGTGTATGCTGGGAGATTTACATCTAGAAAGACACAGACAATATTAATTAGGGCTGCATGATATTAGGAAAACATGCGATAACGTTGAATGTTGTGATGGCGATATGACTTGCGATAAATAAACAAATGCTTAAGTATATCGTGTAAGTCTTCCTGCTTTGGGTTCACTGTTAAAATCGACCCCATACAGTGAGTAGCCTATGCACACACTGAAAAAAATGAGGCACCACCATGTCTGGGGCAGACACCCAGGGAGCCACAGCACCCAGTATGATATAGCCCTAATATGAATAGCAGGAGATTAACAGTGTACTGTCAAAGGTGCCGCTGAGACATTTCTGAGTGTGTCTTCACTCACCAGCGTGGGAGAATTCTGGTCCGGCCAGAAGGACTCTGGTATGGGCCAATGCCCAACTGGCACGCCTGTCTTTGGGTTGGGACGCACGTAGATGAGTTTGTGGCAACTGTGCCACGGCTGAGAACTGAATGACGACACAGGACGACTTGACTCCACAGAGTTATCTGTAAAAAAAAAAAAAAAAAAAAAAAGATTGTATGACATAAGACAGAAACATTTCTCAGTCAAAGGCAAACAATTGAGGGTTCTTCAAAGAACCCCAAGTTCACCAATTATAAGATTTTGTATTCTTTTAAAACTACACAAATAAGTAAGAAAGATTTCACACATAATTTGTTTAGTCTGAAGTACTGTTTGGTTCATGAGCAGTTTGAAAACACCTTTTAGGACTGTTCAGATTTTTCGGACAAATCGCAGGAAGTTAAGACAGCATTAAACAATAAAAGAAGAAAAAGAAGAGGCTCATAAGGATTGCTTGCAGTCTTTGCATCGACAATAAAATGTTTGCATTACAAGGATGTTAATTTGGTGCATTTGAACTTGTGTTGAGTACTGCGTCTGAAGTTGGCGATGCTGGTAGTAATCCCATAATGATATTACAGTGGCGAGGAACAAAATTAACCGGTTGATTCATTTTCTTCATTCAAACAAAACGACTATTGCCCACCGAACTGACAACACGCCCGTCTACAAACCAATCAATTTCAAGTATAGGTAGACACAGCCCACATAGGTGATGACGGCAGGACATACATATTTCATACAAAAGTCATTGGTGGACTCTCTAAATTGTATTTTGAAACAAATACGGTTCTTATATTATTCTGTATTTGGCTGATCTAGAAAATGCACTCAGTTCTCCTTTCAGTGTAAATGTACATTGTAATGATCCAAAATATAAAGATTCTCATCTACTTTCACCTTTTTTACTGCAAACAGTGTCTTTGCTCCAACTATCTGTGATGAAATAATGTGCTCAGTAAAATGTACTGCACTTTTTTAGGATCCACTTGATTCATGTTTTGACTGATTGCTTTTTAGTCATCAAAACTTTTCTGTATACCAAGCTGTTAAGACAAGAAAAGGCATTGTATGAAAACTCACCTTCCCCAATGAGAGGTGGATCTGGCCCCGTCTTCTCAAAATTAATGACAACGCCACTTTGGACCTTTTGGACCAGAGATTCCAGACACTGGTTCAACATCCTTTGTGTCCGTACACAGTATGATCGTCCTGACAGGAAAAGGCAGGACACACATTGATCATATCATAGAGTATAATGATTTATTGAGTGCTGCCAAGAAGAGTATAGACACAAACAATGAATGACTCCACATGCCGCAGTAAAAGAAAAAGCCGAACCTCCAGTGACTTCACACATTTGGGTGATTGCGGATTCATCTGTGGGGACGCTACCGAGCTGCTCGTTGTCTGGTGTTGCTGCTCCCGGCAGCCTCAGCACCAACGCAAACAGACGCTGGTCCCATCGAAAGGGCTCTTTGGTCAGTTCACTACCAGCCAAAGGAGAGTTCAGAGGCAGGTGCAGCTAGACGACACCGGGTTAAAGAAGACACATAAGAGAGAAAATTAATAAGTGAAAACTTTCTACCGTCACTAATTCCACTGTGATACAAACTTTACACTTTGTCATTAAAAAAATGAAAATTATTACATAAAGATTTAACAAAACAGCTGACAGTATCAGTGGGTGCAGTACATAGTGGTGGGACCACATTGTTGATGTTCTCACCTCATCTGGCACCCCAGAGCTGTGCGTAAGCTTGTTCCCATCGGTGATAGTGATGATCACCGATGGCTCAAGGAAGAAAGGGTTTCGTCCCTGAGAGGGAAATGATAACATTCAGCGATTAAATTCCAGTTCAGGTAAACAGTGACCCCATTTATTCCTACAAGCCTGACTTCATTTCCTTATTTTCCAGACCAAATTTACTCTACTTAAATTTTCGCTCTGTGTCTTAAAAAGGCTCCCATCTCCTCAAATTTGGTCTGTCATGCTCAGTGATGGCAAAATACTCTGTGGGTGTACTGTTTAACCAGAGGTCAACTTAAACACAATAATTGGTTTGGTATTAGCATCACACTTCTGATAAGCCCTTTGTATGAACTGTGTTGGAACTTGTTTTCTTTGCTTTGTGTCAGGATGCATCTAAGACAGTGTCCTTGTGTTACATGTCACAGACTGAGGCCTCTACCACTGTGAGCTGTAGGGGTCAGACTTAATCAATACAAATACACAAACAATGACTTAGTAGATTTAAGCACCCCTGATTCAAACTATCTTTTAGTTTATTCATATATGCATATAAGTTGAGCTTTGGAGAAAAGACATGTGAGGAGCGGATGACAGTGATGACAAGGAGAGACTAAGTGGATTAAACTACAATAAGATTCAGTAGTATTAGTCTCGAGGTAAACGAATAATCAAAATCTTCCCAAGAATTCACATATGCTGTTACCAGATATAAGCTCCAGAAATTGTCCTGAAAATTGGGTCCAGACATTTTAAACAGTGCCTCTTACACTCACTTTAAATGCAATGCACAATAGGGAAACAGCCCATTCACATATGAAAAAAACCACAGAATGATGTCACCTTATTAGTATCTACAGTATATCATGTGCCTATTGTTATGTTTACCATTATCAATAAGTGAAAATATTACATCCGCCAAGGAGATTATGTTTTTGTTGCTGTCTAGATGTTTTTTTGTTTGATTCTCAGCAGGATTATGCAAAAACTACTTAACAGTTTTCCACAAAACTTCTTTCACATTGCGGGATAAGAAATCTCCAAACAATTCGCCAGGGAATCAAAAATTAGAACTTGCTGAAAAAAATCTGACATATTTAGATGACTGATTGATGAGTGTGTGTTATCTGGTCCAGCTTGATCCAAATTTAAGGGGACTGTTGGGGCTTGGCAGAGGTATGCATTCTACTAAATGCCATTCTGGTTTAATAAAACCAATTAAGTGTGTTTTTATGGAATAATTGAGCTGCAACTAAGCAAAAATGTAAATTAATCTGAAACCTTTCAAATAAATATTTATGCATTGAAGAATGAGGAATATTTATACTATTCTCTTGTAGCAACACACAAGTCTGCTGCAAAATATATGCATAATAGGATTTTGGTGTCAAATACCTGTCCATAGTTGTCGATGCCTGAGACGAGGCGGTTGAGGTTAAGCAGGTCAAAGGCTGTGCGTAGAGCGTGACCTAGTGTGGTCAGCCCAGAGGCCTGCAGGTTCTTCAGCTCACACATGAAGGTCGCATGGTTCTCCTTCCAGCCTGCCTGAAATACAAACATCAACAGTGGGCTGAATTCACTGCACAGCAAAAAAAACTGACAACGCAGCAGCAGAGTAGGCTTGAAGTCCGAGTGCATAGTGAACAGCAACAAACAAATAGATCCAAACCCAGATACACTTTACAAAGACTTTGTAATTACAAACAGAACAAGTTCTGTTCAGGGACCATCACAAACACATTCAAGTTGAGCATTTGACTGTCACCTTTGGCAACTTTAAAACTTTAAAAACCGATTGATTCTGGGCAACATTACATATTAGTGACCATAAAATAAGATCAGGTTATGTGACCCTCTGGAAATAGAAGATAACATTGTGGAAATTCAGACCCACATTTGAGCTGGTTTGAGCCGTTTAAAAAAAAAAAGCGTCTAATTTCATAGATGACAAGCATCCCAAAATACACTCCCTACTGCTGCCTTGTCCTTTGTGACGGAGATACACTCCCACAGGGCAGGATGTGGCTGTGTGACTGCTCTTGGACTTTTCTCCAGGGAGGTCAAGAACCTTATTGCTGAAGCTTCTTGCTTAATCTAAGGATGACCTGCAAGCTTACCACTTCCTTCAATGGGAGATGATGGAGGGAGCTAATAACGTACACAGAGAGGTGGAGATAAAGGGTTGAACTGTATCAACATGAATGCTCCGAATCAGAGCAGTGGGTAGATTTTTGGATTATCATCGGATATCATTGCGAAGCATAAATTTGGGTGGAATTTCCAGAAAAGGGCAGAGTGTTACATGAATGATGTTAGATAAATGATTTGAACTCATACAAGCAACCTCACTGAGTTGCTGAAGCAACATTTAAAGTGGAAGCACACATTCACCGTGGCAGAAGCAAAGAAACAAACCAAACATAGACTCTAGTGTAGGCAATCAGAAATGTAAGGCTTGGCTTGCACTCAATAATTCAGACTACAGAATATTTCTATTTTCTTCCTGCCCAACCTCCTCTCTCCCTCTCTACATGAACAATTTATTGCCTCTGTAACTGTGCAATCAGAGTATCCCCATTCAACATAACCGTGTCCTTTCATCATAATTCTTGGTTCACAAAGCAGGCAGAAGACAACAAAGCAGAAGGCACTGGAGACAATGAGAAGAAGAGAAGTTGATGATGGACTCTACAACAAGGGAGAAGCAATAGCAGCACCTGGATGATTTTATGTGAGGGAGGAGAATTAGACCTTGGAGTATTTGGCTGAGATGTTACACACATGGAATGCATGTATCTATTATCTGGACTTGTGCATACTGTAATGACTCAAGTAGAACATTTTCAGTTATCATCAATGACAGCAACAATGCAATGTGTGGTGACCCCAGCCCTATAATAACGTAAACTAAAATGATGTAGTAATGTTTCAAGAGCTGAGGCTGTGAGCTGAGAATGATCCTTTTTCCCTTTTTAATATGGAGGTCAATAAAGAGCCAGATATAGCCTGTGTTATTTTAAGTCTTGCGCAGTGTTAAGCATTAGCACTGAGCAAGACTGTACATTAGTTAATAGATGAAATACCAAACATTATTTACATTCTTCACAGTTGTAGATATATTTAAATTAACTGTTATGGTCTATACAATGGAGTGTGGCCATGCACTAAATACACTGAAGTGAAAGTACAAGGATACTGAATATGATGTTTGCTCAAAATTATAAAGACAAGTGGTTACTCTAAGAAAATAGCTCAATTTATGAATCAAACGTCGGACGTATATTAGGTCAATTTACATATTATTGATCAAGTTTAAGATATTCAGCATAACTATTTATTCAGTGTAAAAATGTTAGAAGCCCTAGAAGTGAGAAAGACTAATAATAGACCATTTAAAAGAATAATTAACTACATAAATCATAGTGATAGATTGTAAATCTAAAAATTATTATACAAATTCATATTTTACCAGCTCTCATTCTCAAATCAATTCTCCTGCACATTTAATTATTAAAATCTCTTTCCATTTCACATTTGTTGCTTGAAAGGTCAAATAAGAGTACTTCCCTACTGCAAAGGCATATAAATGAACAGTGTATAAAATAATACTACATTATTATTATATAGTTATGTTATAAACTACTGTGTTATTTTACTGCAATATTTTTCGTCCTGCTTTGAGGCTATTTAAAAACACTACAGCTGATGGGTTGGTGCAGCAATGTAATGAAACTGAACTTTTAAAAGTATTGTAAAACCAAGAACTTATAAACTGGTAATTGCATTTAACTTGCACTACATTTTGCAGCGTATGCCTCTGTATCGATATAAACCCTCACTCTAGCATCTCCAAGATTGCATTATTATTTACTTTCCTTAGTGTTATGTATTTTTGTCATGAAGCATGCAAAAAAATATAAAACAAACTACTCTGAGGGCCTTCATGCATTACTGGCGAGGGACAAAGTAAGGAACAGAGCATATTGTGTTGACAGAAGTGCTGGAGTGTTATTTGTAGACAGTGTTAGCCAAGAGATTTGTAATACACCAGTCACTGATGCAGATCAGGGACCTCGGGTGTTGTGAGTCATTAAAAATGTGTTTTTATTGGGCAGCAGGAGCTCAGAGAAAGAGATGTAAGCCAGGTCATAAAACATGTCATCAGATGAGTGGTGAAGGTGGCCCTGCTGACATGAGTCCCCTGTAATTGTTGCACTGATCCACGTCTGGATGTGTGTATGCGTGAAAACTAAGGTTTGTATGCTGAGGCCATAAAGCTCATGATAAATCATGATCAGATCAATTTCTTCTAGCGAACTCGCATAAAGATAAAAAAAAAAAAAATAACCTCACGGGGAAGAGGGTTTATCAACTTTCAGAACAGATTGGCCAATGGGAATGCGTGGATGATGCAAGGGGCGGGGTAAAATACGACCGGCAGGCTCTTTGGCCAATCTTAACGCGGTACGGTCAAAAAAAAGAGCGACGTCACGGGCAATAATAAATCTCTCCGCCTCCATCTCAACGCCCGAGACTTTTCTCAACACAAAAGCAAAATGTCCGCTGGATGTGGCAGTGCATCTCCGGGTCTGCGGGGTTTTTGGAGCAGACAAAAAAAGCCGTTTTTCTCCACGGGGAAGCCGCCCAACACTGACTCCAACCCAGGCGGGCAATAAAATCTCACTGACAGAAAAACACGTTGGTCTTGTCAAATGTAAAAAAAAATGGTTATCAGTTGCTAATTACCTTCACTCCGTATGGTGGATCATCGAATGTAACTAGCATGTACCTGTCGCCTCTACTAGCCGGGTCTCGGGCACGCAGCTGTCAGAAAAAGAAAACCAAAACAACATATATTAATTTCGAACGACCTTGCCCAAGGAACCCGAAGCTCACCAAAGGTGCACATTTGCTGAAAGAGTCGGGGTGAAATCGTTCTTTACCTTCATAAAGACCTCAACCGCGCCTTTAGCAACGTCCAGATACGTCGTACCCAAATAAGTGCGCTGATTCATAGAGGCGGACGTGTCTAACAGGAAAAGTAAGATAGGCATTTTAAATGGCGAGCCGCGGTGGTATGCTTTTCTAAAAGAACTGTTGTCCACATATGAGCTATCGTGCGGCCAAGCAGCTCACACATGTGTGTGTATTTGTTCGGATAAGCGCCCCCTCCAGCAGAGGGCCGCTGCCTGTGGCCTCTCTCTGTCCGCCTCTCGACAGCTCTGAGCTGCCTCGCGCTGTTCAACTCCTGCTCCTGACCCACAGGAACGCCCCGCCGCCTCAGCCCCGACGCCATTGGCTGAGCCCCTTTACCGCTGACCACGCCCCTTCCCATATATAAATATACAACGAGGACGCCATGGCTGGTCTGCACAGTGCATCCTTCTTTATGCTCCAGGGTATATGTTCAAGTGTGAGTGTGTTTACTGTCAGCAGTACCACTGAGTGACCTGCCTGCTTTAAAGTCAGACAACTGGAATCTGGAGCTGTTCACATCATCTTCAATGTTCCTCCACATCTGCACGTCTGCATAGTTTTCCTATTTTGGACTTTGCATCGACTTCAATTCATTGTGTACACCCTAACCAAAACCTAAATCCCTAACTTATCCATGACCAGTTCATGCCCAGCCAGAACCTGAACCTGACCACCCTTCACATGCTTCCATTGACGGTAACCCGGAGCTCAGAAATGAGGTTTTGTCTCATCAGGACCAGGCTTTGTTTGGTCCCCACGAGGTCCACTGGTCCTGACAAGGTCAGTGTTTCTGCTGCGAACAGTCCCCAAAGAGGGCATAAACAAGCACACACACACACACACACTCTTGTCGCTCTATAGTTCTGAGGACACTCATTGGCATGATACATTCCCTAGTCCCTTACTCTAACCTAAACCTAAGTCTAACCTAAACCTAAGTCTAACCCTAACTTAAAGATAACTCTAACCTAAACCTAATTCTAACCTTAACCCTAAAACCAGGCTTAACCCTCAAACAAGCCTTTGAAATGATCATGACCAGCCAAAATGTCCTCACAATAATAGCACTGAACCAAAATTGGCCCTCACAACCATAGATAGACTTGTGCACACACACACTCACACGCACTAATACCAAACACACAGGCACATCACCTCTGATTCTCTCCCCTGTCACTCTTTTGCTGCGTTCACGGCCCCTCACAAGCTCCACCCATCCAACTGGCTTAATAAGTGTTTGAGTTGAACATTTTGTCAGTATATCAGTAAGTTTCCATACTTAGTGTTTGTACCTATGATGAGTGCAGCAGGGGTCGGATGCACACGAGAGGGAGAAAATGCACAAATCGTTTAAACACAAGAACTTGGTATAAATATATATATACATCAAATTACCCCCAAAACCACATTGCAATGGAGATACAACAATGTGAAAGTCACTTTCACCACAGCCCCAATCATCATCTTTATTATTATCATCATCATCATCAACTATCAATGTTAAAAAAAAGCATCGCCTGTTCTGTGTGCTCTCCGACACCCCGTGAAGGCAACATGGCTGGTACATGAGAGGAGATTCTCGACGTGTTCTTTGAACGCATCATCATCAGACACTTTACCATAAAATCACATAATGCTGCAAGACCCATTCATTATTTCAGAATTGAAATCAAAAGATTTTTAAAAAATCCGTAGATTTAAAGGTCAGTGGAAAGTCATGGTGGCCAAACCCAGACACAGTGTAAGAAGATGTGGACCTGATCCTATTACACTTTTTCTGATTACAGTTACATGGACAGTATACTACAAACTGCATGCAACTGCATTTGTGGTTTTCATTTGCTGCCACTGAAAAGCTGAATAAAAAACCTTTGCAACATTTTACAACGATTAATCAAGTATCAAGGATGCAGGGGGAATATTGTATTCTTTAGTAATGATCAATTACACAAATGCAGTGGTAACATGTGAGCATTTATATTCCATATCATAATGTGATTAATGATCCTTTAAACAACATCCACTGAGGCTGTTATTTACTACTTAGTTACTTCTTCCGCTTTGTTGACGTCTCGCACGTACTGTGCCTTCCCAGCATTCACCGCGAGCTCTGCAGCATATTATTGACAAAGAGAAGAGACTTGAGGAGAACAACAACAGGGTGGGATCACACACACAGACCGCGGAGACACTGATCTGCGAGCTGACAACAAGGTGAAATCTCCCTCTGGCTCTTTGTCTTGACACAGGACATCTCTCGGCCGTGTCCTCTGTAATGACACCGCGCACATACAACGTTTAGTGGCGATCGGCTATCATCTGGGCTCCGACTAGCAGGCTAATGCTAGCTGACGTTACCAAGACGGCGTTAGCATTGCACTATAACAATGTGTTACCTGCAGGGACAGAGCTAGCGAATGCGACAGTGAGCGTGATATATGATTTCTAAATGAGTCCGTTGTGATGTTATAATAAACACTGGAGCATGAAGACCGCATATCTTGCGTGTTTACACTGTCAGCCACGATTACGCTGCAGTTTAAAGGCAGGCTACAGTTTGTGGTTTAAATACGAATATGACGAACCACAAAACGTGACGCCTCGGGAAGTACAGAGCGAGTTCAGCAGAATTTAGTGGACATTGAAGTGATGCATCGTGAGTTTCACGTGTGCGTGGAGAACAAAAGTGTCGGTCGCCACTTGGGTTGCGACACCACGAGCCCCTGGTTCCTCGAGCTGCACCGTAACCATGTAAACACAGAGACACGTGACACAGAGCTCCTGTTTGTCTGAGCTCAACTTGATTAAGGTTCATGTTGAAAAAGTGGTGATGAAAAGCAAAAAGATATTAATGAGTAATAGTTTTGCCCTGTTGAAATACTGGAGTTAGATTTAAGGATGTAAACTGTACTTTAATGTGCAAGGTGCCACTGCTTCATGTTCGTGTTCATCGTTTGAACCACAACTTGACCAACAACTCTGCTGAAATAAGTAACATGATCAATCTTTTTAAAGAATTGTGAAGTTCAGCATTACAAGACAATATACATGTATTAGCCATAATCTATAGCTGTCTATATGGTTTTTCTTTTTGTCATTTTCTTTTTCCCCCACAAACTCACAACACTACTTTTGCCTCAAAACCCCACTATTAATTTGGTTAAAGATCAAACCTTGGTAGGACATCGTACAGGTTAAGCTTTAGTGCATAAGCCACAACTTAAATTTTTTTTTTAAATAACTAAAGAGAGCAGCTGTTTGATGAATAAATTGAATAACCTGGCACGTAGTAGAATGTACACCTCTGTCAAGGCCCAATATTCCTTAAGCTGCACCAAATTTCACAAACTCATATATATCCATTCCCTAAATGTGCCTGATTATTATTTTTATAATCAAGATCCATTAATTATTCCTTGGTATAACAAAATGTGGAGAAATGCCCTGTCTTCCAATGTGAAAAAAGTGTCAAAAACTCCTGGACCTGCACCTTGATCCAGATCTGTATCAATTTTTTACAAGTTCTTCCCTGACTCACACCACATCCTTCCACCAGGTTTTGTGGAAAGTTTTTGCTTACAAACATGCAAACCAACCAATAAACAGACAGGGTTGAAAAGATAACCTCCTTGGCAGAGGTAACTATAAAATGTAGTTGAACAAAAACAGAGTGTCACAGATTGTAAATATGTGTCATTACGGTGCCTCCTGTGTGACTGTACCTTCTTATCCACCACCTGTGTTACTTCACAGTGTCGACTCATGTCATGGTGCTAAGAAGCTGAGAGCGGGAAGTGCCGTTTCCACCGAAAGGAAGTTTACACGGCTTGATTGTGGGTAGAGAAGGGTGGGGGGGCCCGCAGGCAGACCGTGGACGGGGAAGGGGAAGAGCTCAGCTGGAGCCAATGCAGCAGCAGCATCGACAGCCTGAGCTGGTGGAAGGAAACCTTCCCGTGTTCGTGTTCCCCACTGAGCTCATCTTCTACGCAGATGACCAGACGTCCCACAAGCAGGTGCTCACCCTCTACAATCCCTATGAGTTCGCCCTCAAGTTTAAAGGTTAGTGGGCAGAGGAAAACACAACATATCTCATGCTTCTGTGTACACTGTATGAACTGTGAATTATTTCAGAATAGATTGGTAACTTATGTACTTGTTCATTTTTGTCAGTGCTCTGCACAGCTCCAAACAAGTACACTGTGGTGGATGCCACCGGTGCCGTCAAGCCACAATGTTGCGTTGACATGTGAGTTTGTTTTTGTGTGTGGGACATTTATCTTTCATGCAGTGGTACGCCACCAAACAGACATCTATGAGGTTGTTATTCATGCCCATGTCTTCCTTGTTCATTGATTTCTTAAAAAACTATTAGTAGGTTTGCTAGGCTCTATATCTCCTGTCATATTAGGTTGTTTATACAACTTACCCTCCCACCTGGTTAGATAAAGATTATGTCTAATGTTTTGTGTCCACACAGAGTAATCAGACACAGAGATGTGCGGGCATGCCATTATGGGGTGTACGACAAGTTCCGACTGCAGGTGTCGGAGCAGAGTCAGCGGAAAGCTCTGGGCCGCAAAGAGGTGACGGCAACGCTCCGCCCCTCCGCCTCGCAGGAGCCCCCCAGCCCCCGGCCCCAAGACGATGAACGCAGAATCAAAGAGCAGTTTGCAGAAAGCGAGTTTTTTGAACAGACTGCTTTTCAGACAGGTGAGGAGAAATGCCTGTTGCGTGGTGCTGCCTTTAGATGGCGCCAAATGCTTATAAAAGATATGCAAATATGGGAATTTCTTACCATTCACACATATAGTTTTTTTGGGCCGATGAACAAACCCCATTAATATCTACCTACTAGCTTATCCATGATTTTTTTCAAAACAACAATCTGTCTCACCTTGACATCCTCATTCTGAGTCTATGCATTCACCGGTTTGCCAATATTGAGTCAAGTACTATCATTGTTTACTGCTATATGTTGCTAATCTGACTACATATTGTAATTATAATGTCAAGTCAACAGTCTCAGTGTCATAAACCCTGTCTGATCTCTCTAGACGTTCTTTGAGATTCTCTGAGTTTGACATTTCTTTGCCACAAAATCTGTTTATGGCACATAAGTGTGGTGAAGAGTTAATATATCTCGTATATTAAGCAGCAATGACATGATCCTACTAACAAGCCCTGTCTGTGAATCCAAACTCTGATCACACACTGTATCCTCTTTCTCTCTGCCTCCTCCAATGTTGTCTAAACACTATTAAAAGCACGTCAGTGAGCCGCACCTTTGCACTGGGCCTCATCCTCCTGCATTACCATGAGTATGGACACTAGTTTATTTTGAGTCAATCCCACACACACTGAGCCGCTGCTGGAAATACTCAGCAGACCATAGCACCAAATCTGTGCTAGAAAATACTTTCCATTTGCAAATACACTATTTAATCCTGTTTGAGTAATGTTTGCTAGAAAAAAAGTGCAAACTGTTTTAGAAAGTTAAAGGTAGTGTGTGTAGAATGTAATGATATCTAGTGTTGAAGTTGCATATTGCAGCTGAATACCCCTCACCTCACCCTCCACTTCCAAACATGAAAGAACCCGTGGGAGCCTTCAGTTGTCATAAAAACTTTATAAAAACAAAGTTTAGTTTGTTCAGTCTGGACAACTGTAAAAAACAGGGCAGCCTCCCTAGAGAGGAGCCGCTCCTGATGCAAATACAAAGTATTTAAATATAAAGGGCACAATTTAAATGAAACACACCAGTGAAAACATCACTAGGATTATTTTAGATTCATTTTCTGCCAATAGATCCCTTTCCTTTTTACACGCGGAACCTTTAAGTAGCCCATTTTAAAATTATATAATAAGTTTGCTATCAATTCTTTTCAGATTTTGTGTTTTATTTTATTTTCACTTAATCTGACATTGGATTTTTTTTGTTTTTTCCAACTATTACCTGATTTATTTAATTTACTGCCCCATGTGAAGCACATAACAGTATTTTTTTTAAATACCCCTATAAATAAACATCAAACAGTGAGCTACAGGCTCACTGTTTATTTTTAACTCTTTACTCTTAAAATTTTGTGAACTATTCTCAGTGATGAGTCTGATCACAGGGCATCCTTGTTTGTGTGCTTGGCAGAGAGCCGTCCTGTTGCCGGAGGACCCAGCCTGCTGACGGTGTTGCTTGGGCTGGTGTGTATGGCCGCCCTGATGCTTCCGACGCTGGGGGAGCAAGAATCTACTGTGCCTGTCTACCTCCACTTAAGTGTTAACAAGAAACTTGTAGCTGCTTATGTTCTCGGTGAGTGGGACAACTCATGCCAGTGGATAAGAACATTGATAATGATAACTTCATTTATAATTTATTATTATTCATTACAAATTACCAAGTGTGCGCAACCAAAAACAAATGGTTAGTACAGAAGTTATCAGAAAGTACATAAATAATAATGGACACTCTAAGTAAATTAAGGAATAAACAAGCAATTTCTTAGCCGAGACTCAAAAGAAGACTCAGTCAGCCTTATTTCCAAAGACAATTCATTCCAGAGCCCTGATGGGAAACGCTCTGGCACTAGTTTTCTTCCTAGATCCAGGAAGTGACAGCAGACCTTTGCTTGAAGATTGCAAGCTGTGCAGAGGTAAATGGAGTATTAAAAGATCGGAGATATAGCCTGGGGCCAGGCCATGAAGAGCCTTAGAAGAACTCAATGACATTTTAATATCGATCCTGAAACAAACAGGGAGCCAATGTAAAAACAATAAGTCCCTTAGTTCTAGATAATAGCTTAGCTGCTGGCTAGGAAAGAATGAGGTTGCACCTAAATTTGATCTATGCTGATATTGTTGTATATGTTTTCAATAGGAAATTACATTGTGTATCTGTGTTGTCTCATATCATATTCCAGGTCTTCTTACAATGGTCATCTTACGCACATGAAGCGCTGGGAGCTGAGGAGGAGGAGGAGGAGGAGGAGGAGGGAAGAAAATGATCGAAAAGACTAAAGTGAACCTTCTCACACCAGAGGCACTACTACGCTTCAGTGTGTAGAGCTGACAGCAGGGGACGGAGTATATTATTATTCAATTCGCCTCGTCCCCTTAAACATACATTTTTGAGCATACTTGTTTTCAGATCCACACCTGTATTGTGTTAATACGTACATTTACACAACACTGAACTGATGCAAACAGCAGAGACCTCCTGAGTGTGAGAGGAGCCGTCCCTGAACAGGGTCTGTGAAGAAACATGAGGCCACTCACCCTGTGGCCTCATATTTCCTGTGTCTGTATTTCTGTGGTCGACATGAGCTTGAGGGAATCCACATGCCATGTATATAAAGCCATGAAAGATTTGTTATGGAACTCACCTGTAACCATCATTATATTTGATGTTTTGAAGCATTTTCAGTGTAGACGTCATGCAGCTTGCGAGCGTGGAGACCTTATCTGAGGGAGTTTTCTTTTTTTTTTTTAGCAGTATGATATTTTTACATGTCACCAAAGGAAAATATTTTCTTTTGTTTGCCGTATTATATCAATGGTCAATTAATAAAGTCTCCATTCATCTGTGGTATAACATTCATAGATCAAATCAGTTCTTCTTTGACATTTTTAAAGGTTCGGAGCACACAGAATGGCAATAAGATCTCTTATCAGCTTTGTAATGTTTTCAGGTTTTACAGCTGAGAACAGTCTTTACAGAGCAGGTGATATCTTACTGTGGCCACAAGTGCATGGTTGATATTTAATATCAGTGCATGTGTGCAGTTGTACTTAAAACTTTTCTTTGGACCATTGTGGGCATACACTTTACAGAATGAAGACATTTTGACCAGTCCTCACTTTTTGTAAGGGCTGTGTGATGGTTAAGGTTACGGTAAGGGGCTAGGGAATGAACTACGCCAATGAATGTCCTCATTAAGATAGAAGTTCAAGAATGTTGTGGGAGCCTTATCTGTTTACACAGTGACATTATGATGACATGTCTTCCTTATGAGGAAAAAAAATCAAGTCCCCATACTGTACATTGTTACAGTTTAAAGAGAAGACATGTTTTAAGTTAGGTTAAGGATCAGGTTGGTGTAAGGGGTAAGCAAGTAGCGACTATGGTTAATGTTACAGCAAGTCTCCAGTCAATGTAATGTTCTCTGAAGTCACGCAGACACCATGGTGTGTGTTCGTGCTATGGTCAAAGAAATAATCTCGGAATATTTAAAAAGACTTTCAAAAACATCTTATAGAATTTATTCTTTCTTGATGTCCTTCACAATGGCAATCACAAAGACACAAGCGTGGGTGAGATGTTGGCCAGCTTGAAAGAAGCCTTTCTATCACAGACACAGAGTAGAATAAGATTATCTGCTAGATTCATACCCTCAGTGCTTCTTCAGATGACAAAAAGATGAATCTCATGTAATACCTAGGTTGGCCGACTGCTTCTCTCCTCCTTTTCTTAATTGTATAAAAGAAGTACATTTGATAAAACTGCAACCAAAACATTTTCCTTAAATTAAAAAGGGCACAATTTCATAAAATGATTTACAATCACTTCCTTTTGTGCATACACATGGAAGACGATGGGGTTGAGCAGTGAGACGTACACAAGAGATTCAACAGGTCGAACCTGAATATGCAGCATTTCTTGGGCTGCTCAACAGAAAGCTAATATTTCAGTGTCATGTCTTCCCTTCTTAAGACTTACACACAGACTGGAAACACGACAGGATTGAGGCTCCTGTGCAAAAAAAAAATCTTTTAATAAATGTAACAACACAGCAGTCTCTTCACTCAGTATGGTGCCATTTTGATTTTACTGCCAATTATTTCAGGCAGTCAGCTGATTTGGTGTAAATGACAACATAAATGGGTCATTTTTTTAGTGGAGATAGAAACCTATCACCATCCAATTCCTATAATAAACTTTTTTCTCCATAAATAAAGAAACTTTTTGCCAGAAGAAAAAAAAACAAAAAACAATCATGTCTCTAAATTGCTTATCTACAAAAAAACATCCTGAAAAGAACACAGGATACAAAGGAACTGTTAGTGTTGACAGACCATGTCCTTCCATCCACAATTCACTGCGATTTTCACTGAGTTGCAGTAACGAATGGCGACGGGCACAGAGCCCAACAGAACATTTCACCACAGTTCAAAGCCTGTCTCATAAAAATATTTTGAATCTGCTAAACCCCAGAAGTAGTTTACGTTCCTTTCACAAAGAAAACCTTTGCTGTTGTGTGACCACATTCACCTCACAGCCAAACTATGTACGACATCTGACAAAGTTAATATGTACATAATTACAAGCAAAGCAGGAAATAATAAGTTAAATCTTTTCTTACAAAATCCGCAGACTGTACATACAAAGGCCTGAAGACAAGTTTTCCAGCACAAAAAATATGGAGAAATGTACACATCCAAATTGTCTCTTTCTTTTTGTCCAGTGCTCAATGTCTCTCTCCAGTGAGGGAAACTGGTGGGACAGTTTTAACAGGATAGCCACTTTATAAAAAATAACAACACAATATCAATATGAAGCCAAGCACCATCCAAGATCCTCAACTAGCAGCTGATGCTCTGTGACTTCAGTCATCCCCAGTTTTACTAGGTTATACCTCTGTAAACACCAAACCTCGTCCATGGCTTTCATTTCCTTAATTCAAACATATCAAGACCCTCCAGAGAGCAGCCATGAAAGCAAACACAGGGAACATTAAACTAAATCTAGCCGATGGTGAGGTGGAGGGTCTGAGAAGGAAACTGGTTCCCTGGGGAGAGGGAACTTTCTTCCTCTATGCCAGTCCTTTTTAGTGTCTCTTTGCCATCCCCTGTCTCATTTTGGCGACAAATCCTGGAGGGAAGCGAAGGGTGAGTTGCTGGACGAAGAGGGCGACACCCCCTCCATTTTGCCTGGGGAGTCGGTGGAGGAGCTGACGCTGCTGAGACTGACATCCAGTAAATCTGGGGAGTGACTGAAACAACAGAAGTCTTGTTGGGTTATGGCTGCCATAGAGGTTACAAAGGCAAACATATCCTTGATTATTGTCTATACATTCACTCTGATGGAGAGAATTCATTCAAATATAATTGATTCATTTACTGAGTCCCTTTTCAAATTTATATGTTACTTTAAAAACAATGCTGACATGTGCAGAAGCCTCCAGAATGAGTAACTACATTTAAATGAACATTTTACATTAACACAAAATGAGCTCCAACAGTAGACCTACTCATATTACATTCCCACACATTGCCAGAACAAGCCTGTTGACTGTATGCAATGAACTCAAAGGTCATATTCAAAGCTGGGTGTAAAATACAAATCAGACATTTTGCACAGTAATAAGTATGTACTGTTTAAAAGGACAGGTGTGCGATAAGGGAAACTTCAGATGAAGTTGCAATATATCTAAAGCACAGTGGAGAGCAGTTATTCCCAAAGTTAAGACACAAAAATCCTACTAATTAATTTTAACCATAGCTCCTAAAGTTATGGTGGTTGCCTACATGTTTTTGTTTACAGACCATAGACACCGGCATCTGCCTTTATTGTCAAAAGCTCTCAAATCATTCTTCCAGTTTTGCGTCTGTCTCGTGTTTCATCAACATGCCCGCTCACTCACTGTGCTATATTGTTACATGTGCTCACTCTGATATTTTCCAGACATGTTACTAGGGTGTTGGCAGGAAAACATCCAGAGCAACTGAATTGGACATTGGCGTCCCATACAGCCCCTCCGGAAAACTTCAGGAGTTTGGTGCAGGTCTGAAAGCAACTTGAATCTTACCAAGAACCAAGATCTGACAGGTTGGAGATGTCGGATGACAGCATGGTGGTGGTGCCCTGGAAGAGCCTCTTGGGTTGACTCTCCGTCTCCATCTCACCTGCTGAGTCAAGAGAGCCTGACATTTACAAATCTTTGTGCTCACAGTATGTGGTGAATCAGAAAGCGACAGCTGCATGAGTGTTTCGTTGTGAATATGAAGTACAGATCTTATCAGCTGACAGTGAGCTATTTAGTCTCTAAATCAACAAGAAAATCAAGTGAACTATTAAGAGAAAAGCTATTTGAATATTTTAATCATTATTTAATAAATGTTCAACCATGAGAGCTTCATGTAGGTTTATTGTTTGAAGATGGTCCCTAAAAAAAGGTGTTTCATTAACATCTCACAATCATAGATTTTTAAATCTTAAATACCATATTGGCTCCATGCAGAGAAAAAAATACCATATACATTTTTCAAGCAATATTCTTTTTTACCTAGAAAAAACTATTATGCTGAACACGTCTCTCTCTCAAATAGCATGTCAAGTATCTCACCTTTGCGTTTTATTGGCCCCAGTATGCTGGCTCTGATGCAGTTGATTGGGCTTTGACTGCGTCGGCTGAGGAAGACAGAAACTTGCATGTTGTCAAACCAGTATATTTTGTAATGCAGACACAAGTAACAAAAGGCACAAGACAAAAATCTGTCATCTTCAGATGTATCATAAAGACAGATTTATAGTTTACTAAGACACGTATACAAATTATGATATAAATTGTCTTTAAGTGCAGAGACATCGTATCATTTTCAGCTAAGAACACCATTTAGTGCCACAGGAGTGAAATTACAGTTGTACTGGATCCAGCTGGTGTCTGTGCTGGCTCACAGATAATGTTCTTCAAAATTAGAAGAGGACTTCAACGGAGAGTATTATAAAAAAAAACTTGGTCCTCACCTGAAGCGCCGTGTTGGGCTGGGTATTGGGCTGGGTGTTAGGCCATTGCTGCTTACAAGGATTTGTAATGAAGGAGAGAAACACTGCTGCTCGGAGGAAAGGGAAACAGAAGACAAAGCTAATAGCATTGACACATCAAACTGAATAGATGCATTTTATAAATTTAATTTGATCCAGATTAAGGAAATCAGATTGTTATTTGATATTCATTTCAAGATCTGTGACATCTATAAAGATTGCCTCAAATATGTAGCAAAATGTAAACAAGATACCAAGAAGTATTTCTAAAGTACATTGATGTAGCTTACAATAAAATTTTTTTAAAAAGATTATTGAAGCAGCAGCAAACCGTAAGAAACCAATTTACTCAAAAATCTCAACAGGAACAAAGTTGTGGTTTCTTTGGTTACCAATAAATTGCTTCCTGCAGGCTACCACACAGACTCCCATTCATTAGTCTGATTGCAGCTTATTCTGAAAATCAGGTTACCACAAACTGTGAAAGTACATTAACTTTTTACCTTCACAGAATAATCAGGTTAGGGAGTGCATGTAAACATACTGAGGTCAGATGTACCTTTTTACCAATCCCTCTGGTTGGGGATGGGGCAGGCGACACAGGCACAAAGTCGATGCGCTTTGGAGACGATGATACAGACTTCTCCAAATCATTGTCACTCTGAAAACACAATGTCATGCATACGTTTATCTTTTCTCAATGTAAATCTATAGTAATATCGAGTGAAGTTGTAAAAAGCATTAAAGACAAGAGTGTCGGAGTTTTATACTACCAACTCAGTCTGACCTTGAAAGACTGGTGGCCCTGTTAACTCCCATATGTTTCAAGTGTTAATCTAGCATGTTTGTACTTGTCCACTCTATGGTAAACAGAGAGGCCGGCACTGGCCTGGGGCCATAACATGCAGTGGGAAGATAGAGCAGAAGCCACTTTCAAGGATCTGCAGCCAGAGAACATATAAACATAACTAATGAGGGTTGGACAATCTGTAATGAAGAGTTGTTTTTACCAGACTAAGGCTTTCTTCCCAGGACTGGCTCATCTGCATGGCAGCTTGAACTTCCCTGCATGTACAAAAACACAAAACAAGCAATTTGATCATGACTTAGCATTTCAACTACAACTGAATAGCATTTCAAAAAGGAAATCTATTCATCCACCAACTGCACTGATAAATAAAGAACTTACCGCTCATGAGCAGTTTCTCTGTTCATCACATCTACACCCTCCTCCTGCAAGAGCACACAAGAGGGTTAATGGCTACAAAGTCTGACTTTAACATTTCAACTCTGAATTACATGCTTTTAACTGTTGAGATTTTCCAAATACCAGCCTCAGAAAAATGCCTCTGATACTGCTGAAGATTTTATTGACCTGATCTAATACTGTCTTTAAAACACATTGGTTTTCCTCTGATAAAACTGCAAATTTCTTTTCCAGGCAATCACTTCTTTACCACTTCAAAACAGCACTTGTGCTGTACTGCCATTTGCAAGAGTGGTTTTTAGAGAAGTGAGGTGAATTCTAGTAGGGTTATATTACCCGTTTACCAGACATTAAAATGTATGCAAACTCTTAAAATAATCGTCCATTAATCCTAATTGAGGTAAACCTTTTCGAAATAATCATGATATTGATTTAAGGTCATATCGCCCAGCTCTAGGTGGCAGCACTCAATTATTTTTATAAATTGTGGCTGAAAGCAATTTAAAGGAAGTAATTATTGTGGATTCCTAGATTTGTTTACTTGTTTATTTGCATTCTTTTTCAGTTATGACTGTCAAACTAGATAATAGAAGAACTTCCATAACATCCAAGTCATAAAATCATCACTTCTTTACAGAGTTAGAAGCCTACAGCTGTTAAAATACAGGGGAAAATGGCATCGGAACATTTCTACTATGAACAGTATTAACTCTCAAGTCACTGCAGTCAAAACTAATTCAGACTCAAAAAGGTAAATCGTAATCACAAATCATACTAAAACTGAAAAATATTCATTTCACTTATGGACAAGACCACAGGATGACACAACAAGAACCAGTTCCTGTTGGAGTCTGATACTACCAGTTGATCAACCCTGTAAGATCTACGGCCCTGTGTGCTCTGGCATGTTTTTGAATCACCGTCACTCCCTATGGCTTGAGAGGGGCATGGTGGTCTCACATGCTCCATCTCAAAGTGAAACACACTTGCGTGTCACAAACAGTATCTTTCCTTACTTGTTTGATCTGATGAAGTCTGGTGCTGGGGACACGGATGGGCGATGAAGGGACCTGTAGAGATGCACGTGAGCGGAGGGCAGAGCATTCAATACTGACCTATTCAGACTCATTTGTGTTAACATGCATCTTAATCAGAGTAATATATACCATGTTGGGCCTGTTGACCACTGTAGTGCTATTTCTCCGGCTGCGCAGGACCTCTCTCTGGAACACTTGGGAGTTATCACTGCAATGACACATTTACACACCAATATAATGTTATGAATCTTTTACTCATGAGGACAGGGTAATGCATTTGCTGCAGTGTGAATGAAAAATGACATGAAATCAAGGATTCTGCAGTAAATGATTACAGCTATGTGATCATGTAAAACCTTAAGCCATTGATCATGGGTGCACTGTTGGATCTCCTCAAGTGTCCATCGGTCTGAACTAACGACGATGGGATTTCCAGATCCAGCTCCATCTTCTCTTGGGCCATGACTCCTGAGTTGTTCATTTTGCTAGCTAACGCTCCGCGTCACCAATTCATCAAAATGCTCAATCAGCTCGGTCACGTTACATTGTTGCCCTGCAAACTTTACCAAGTTTACATGTGAAGAGGAAACATCGTGAATCATGCAACACAGCAGAGTGAGAGCAACTAGCTAACGCGGTGTGGAGGATAACCCACAGCAAGGCCCTGTCGTCTGTATGAAGGAGGTTAACACTGGCTGTTAACCACCGTAACGTTATCTCTACACCTCATCGTACAATGGCTGCATGGTCAGTCTCAACTACCAACATTGTCTGCAATGTTATGACCAGTCATGAACTTTTCTGATGGATGGTTAGCATGCCATGGCTACATACCGCACAATGCCCGGTAACTGTTAGCTACCGACCCCTGAGAGCGCTGGAGCGAGGCGGCAGAGGCTGGCGACTCAAACCCCGCTCAGCTGCTACAGCATGATCGCGCGCTAACTCAGCTAACGTTAACCGCACTAGCCTCTCCGTTACTCTGAGAACAAAATGAAGGTTCGCCACAAAACTAACGCAGGCGACGTTAATGAAGCGACGCTGCTGCTGCTGCTACACTCGTCCCCATAAGTACGAGTGTACCCTCTGGCTAACGCAGCCTAGCAAGCTAACGTAAGCTAGTCAATGTTACAGCCAACCGCCCAGCTACCTAGCCTGCTGCGCTAACTAGCTAAATTAGCATTAACGCCAATGGCCACAATGCCATGTCCTGAGAGAGAGGCCGGGTCAGCATTTCAATAAACGCTCCTGTCGTATCGGCCCGGTAGCTAGCACGGCTAACATACTTTTAAAAACACGCCTGTTCCAAGTATCACACGCTCTATAATGTGAGGGTTTCGTTTCTGCAGGGCGCCACCAAGCATGAGCAGGATCCCAGATGATCCCAGAGCAGCTAACTGTGCTAGCAGCAAACTTCACGCCCCTTTTAACGTTAGCAGACCCGTCCAATCAAACCTCATCATCTACCGGCGTGCTCCGGCGGAATGTGGCGGCCTGCAACCTCCGGTTCCTGGGAAGGCTCCTCACATTCACCGCGCATGTAATGTTTGAATGATGAGTGGTCTCCTTACTCTTGATCCGAGAGATCGTGCTGGAGAAGGTAGGTTTTATTGGATTTACCTTGTTCATTGACATCTGTCCTGTGCAGACAGCAGATGGGATGATGGTGATTCAGATATGAGCAGCTAACCACCTCACTCACTGTCCATGTTTTTATACTGACTGCTTACAACATCATAGTAGACTTCAATGGGGTGTTTTCAAAAACATCTGCTCAACTGTCACAAAGAGAGAGAAATTGGAAGCGTCCATCAACATTTGACAGTTAAAAGCATGGGGTTTGATTAACTATTTCACTTATGGAAGCATATCATTTAAATAAAATTGCTGATGTAAAGTTTGATCTGCAAAATACTCCAGACTCTTTAAATGTAAAATAATCAAGAAAATGTGTGGAACGGTTTCAAAGAAGCTCATATGAGTGGACACATAAATGCCCAGCATGAGAAAAATGACCCCTGCAGGTGTTTCATTTCAGTCAGTTGTGTATTTTTTCTTGAGTATAAGGTAACGCAGATACCATCGACAACATGTACTTTGTGTCCCTAATCACACACTGCACAGATAGTAAACTTGCAGCATCACCACTGCTTCTCAGTATTGATTGGCCAGTTACTTCATTACATTTCATTTAGCTGATGCTTTTATTCAGAGACTTACAATGAGTACATCAACTATGAGAGTACAAACCCAGAACAAGAATCAATAAGTACAATTTGCCTCAAAAAAGCCCAACTGCAAAGTGCTACATGTAAGTGCAACAATTTTTTTTTTTTTTTTTTTTTTTTAATTGGTTATTAGACGTCATCTTCTTAACCAAGATGTAGTCGGAAGAGATGTCTTAAGTCTGCAGTGGAAGATGTGTAGACTTTCTGCTGTCCTGGTGCCACCATTTGGGAGCCAGGACAGCAAACAGTCGTGATCGTTGAGTGGTTAGCTCGCAGTGAGGGAGCAGCAAGCCGACTGGCAGATGCAGAGCGGAGTGGACAGGCTGGGGTGTAAGGTTTGACCATGTCCTGGATGTAGACTGGACCCGATAGGTTCACAGCACGGTACGCAAGTACTTGTGTTTTGAAACGGATGCTGGCAGCCACTGGTAACCAGTGGAGGAGCGGAGTAGGTAAGTTAAAGATAGACGAAAGAATGGATGAGCTGCAGCGGTCAGATAGCACTAGCGGGTAGACTATTCATTATGACAACATTCAAAGTAGTTGCTGTTAAGTTTTATAAAAAGCTTTTCTAGTAAAACCCATGGGTCGCAGGAGAGGTGAGAAGTGTGAACATTTAATGGCTGGTAAACTTCAGTCAACACTACAGTGCTGGCATCACAGAGCATATGATATTTAAAAAAAAATAATTCCATTACAGGTACATTTAGATTAATTATTTGATGATTCACTGATTTTCAATTGACCTGTTACAATCTAAACAATAAAATAATTTCCAGCATAAACAGGATTGATGTTTTTATGTTGCACAAATAGCTTGGATGCATTGGTGTTTTGTTTAAATAAAGAGTTAATTTACACTCTTAAATAAGAGGATGTCATCTTCAGCATGCCAATGTGTTTAATTAGGGACAGAAGCCATCATCTGTGTTACTTTTCTACACTGAGTCTGTGAAGAAAGTGTTCTCACACAAGTTACATAGAAAAGGATTTTGCCCCAAAATATACAAACAGATGTCAAGAGAATGAACATTGTCTTCTTGAGTGCTACTATTGATTGCCCACTGGTAAAAACAGAATTAAAATAAAAGCAATACATTATAAAATAAAGGTGGTAAAATCTTGGAAATTTTACGATACCACAACAATTGTGATACTGTACTTAAAATTAGCAGCATTGCTTTGAATAAATTACTTGCTAAAAAAAATAAGCAGTGTGGGGATGAAGCTGGTCTTCATACTGTTTGATGTGTATGTGGTTCTTTCAAAGGCAATCAGTCTATGGTTGAATACAGCATGTAGTGGCTGAAAACAGCAAATGCAACAGTGAGTCCTCAGGGACCCCAAGTACTTTTTATGACACCAATATGAAGTACATATAAAATGAACTGTAAAAGAAAAATATATAACCATACATTTAAATTTGTTATGAAGTGCTCTTCATGCCTTGTACTTCTCCTTCCCTGTTTCACTAATGACGCAGATATGCTGAAACAGAAAAGGATTCATTTAGTCCTGCAGCATAATATTGACTTACATTAGATGTTTAGAGTCTCTTAGCCTGGTCATAATTATTATACATGTAAAAAGAATTGTATTAGCATGAATTATGAAATGCTCTGGTCATTATGTTTCTTTGTCTATCTGAAATACTTACATTTAGATCTCTAAAGTACTCGTTGTAGTCTAGCGCGTATCCCACCACAAATTTGTCAGGGACCTCGAATCCAACAACTACAAAGAAAACAGGTGAATGCTTCACTTTCTCATCTTTGTAGTGGTAAACTACACTGAGATGAAGGTATGTAAAGCCTGATAAAAAACACACATTTCTGCATTTTTCAGACATGAACATGAAGTTCTTCTTTCACACGAGTCTGACACGTCTGAACAGCAACATTTCTGGAACATTCAGATGAGGGGTGGCACCTCGTAGAGGATGCAGGAGGCAGGACATACTGTTAAAAATCCAGCTGTTCAAATTCAGCAGCAGAAAGCTCAGTGTTTTGTTTTCAGTACATAAAAAGATGGTAGGAGAAGAATCTACTGACTCAGCTGTAATGTTTGTTATTTTCCTGCTGTATTCTCACACGGGCCCACTCGGAAATTTACCAGAAATGTTTCGGGGGACCGGCAAAAAAAAGTTCCAGAAAATGTGTGGGGACATTTCAGTTCTCAAATACAGCCCCTATGGAAAACTAAAGGAAAATCTCCAGACTTCCGTGCATGTCTGAAAATAACCTTCGTGGAAAACACACTGTAACATATAGTAAAATGAATCAACTGTAAGAATAACAGAATTTGTCTTTAACTCACAGTCTGGTCGGTAGCCAACACTTCTTGGAGTTCTCTTCACCAACAAACTAAGACAGAATCCAGGTTGATTATCAATCTTATAAAAGTACTTAGTTACATATATATAGCTGCATGAAACACTGATAAGAAACATGATTTCTTTTGTTGCATAAGATACAGCAGTTAGTATTTGAAGGGAAGTTATGAGGAGATGAAGTTACCTCGCTACTTTAACCATTTTGGGATTGTACTGTTTGAGGAGCTGCAACAACGTCTTCATTGTCTTCCCTGTGTCGATAATGTCCTTGAAACCCAAAGAAGAGCATTTTAGTGGTGCTGGAATTAAAAGTTTCCTACATCAATATAATGAAACAATACATACCTCCACGATCAAGACATTCTGTGTAAAGAGGAAAAAAACATTATTTCAGAGAGGAGCAAAACACTGGACACAACATGTTGATAGTCCAATTAAAACCTGTTTTCTAAAATTATTAATCAAGTGAATGCCTTTCACCAGCATTAGTCAGGATCTCAGCATTATTATGTATATATTATGTGTCAACAGGGTTGTTTCAGTCATAATAATGCCTCCCTTCATAAGTCTTACCTTGCCCGTCAGCGTAGACAAGTCATCTCCACCAATAACTTTGATTTCACCTGTCGACTGGTCGTTCTGTAGTGGCAAGAATAACGTGAGGACAACAATGAAGACTTCACATTGTGATTTGTGCATCAAAGACCAAACTAAACAAAATGGGCTATATTTGTTGCATATTGTATAATTCTTTTATAAATATATATTTTATATATTATAAAACATGTTCAAAGCTGATTTTTAAAACATTCTAAATTCAGCATAATTCACTTCTATGGTTGCTTTGTTTGATGGCACACAGCTAAACGACGCTGCATTGCATTTGTGCTTATGTGCATCATTGTGTGCACACACAAGATACAAATAATTGGAGAAACTAGTAGTAAGTAGTGAAAATTGCTCCATAATGGTGCTAGTGGTCAAGATCTCCATAGGTACCTGTAAGACTGTACAAACCTACAAAATATGTAAATAAAATAAGTAATATTAAGTGCTATAGTTTAAAAAAATAATAATACAGCACATCTTAAGCACTACGACAAAATAATTCTAATTAATATTGTTTGTTTACACAGTAGCTCTTGAGGCGAATGAAGTCCACTGTCATTGGGATGGAGCGGTCGCTGTTCCTGTTCAGGGCCTTGATATAGTCCAGCAGGTCTGCAAAGAACTTGTAGCCCCCTTTGAGCACACAGAGGGCCACAATGTGATGGCCCCCCATTTCTTTCATGATCTCTCTGGCCAGTCTCTCAGTCCTGGGGTCACGTGGGAGGGAGAGGAAAACAGACATTCAGATAGTAAGAGACAGCGGGAGAGACAGTGTGAGAGATGGCGGGGGAGAGACGGGTGATAGTCAGCTGAGTTTTCTGCTACTGTCAGCAGTAGTTTCCATTTCCTCACCATTTGTGTCAGCAGACATAGCGGTTTTTGCTTAACATACCAAAGTACAATGATTGTAGAGATCCAGTAAATAAATTACCACAGAAAAAATGAAAACATATCTGCATTGATTTTTTAATCACATAGAAACAGAAAAGCAGAAATGAAAGCCCTTAAGTTTACATTTAGAATTTCAGACAGTTGATGAGTTACTGTTTGTAAGGCTTTTTTTAAACTACTGGGAAAAATCACATATTAGCATCTAAAAACAAAAGTTGAATGTTTAAATGGTGTCTGGCCTGTCTTATTGTTAGGATTATGCAAACAAAACACACTTGTAGAAATTTTACAATTTCTTTCCTATCCTTATTCAAGGGCGTTATCTGTTTTGACATGACCTGCGGGTAAAGTCCAGACCTAATTCTCCAGACTTTAATAATGCGGAGGTTCTCTGCACAGACGCATTCACAACAGCAACAAATCCTCCACATTATTCAAGCGAGAGGAGGAGAACATGTGATTACTCTTTCAACACACAGACACCAGTGTTGGCTCAAATCACCACAAAAGATGAAATGGGAAAAGATGAAGTGGAGAAAAAAAAACATACTGTCTTCTACGTGTATGACACTGCTTTTTTTTCTTTTTCTTTTTTCATTCTCACTCTGCGAATCTCCTGCTGTGCGGAGAAAGTCTGCAGAAAATCCGTGGGCTCTTACTCAGAAATTTGTGTTCACACAAATTGTGTTCACCTCCTCCAGAGAAAGTGGGGACAATCTCCGGAGTTTAGTGCAGCCAGGACTTACTGATCACTCAAATCCTTGTGCTCGCAAATATACCCTGCTTGTGCCTGCACTCCAGCTTCAAATCCTCCCCCCCCCCACACTGCATCTATGCACTTGAAACGTCTGCTCTCGGATTTCTCTTCTGGTCTCTGACTTCTTTGCAACAAGTCTGTAAAAATCTCTAACCAATTGGGTAGGGAAATTTCATTCATTATCACTACACCTTGTATTCTATCGGTAGGGTAATAACAAAGCATTACAAAATCTGAATGTGAAACAATAAGGCCTCCTCTCCAACTGAAAGACCACAATCTTGAATTAAGGTGGGGGGAAAAAAACATACACTTCCGCTACAAGCCGCTGAAAATGCTACAACCCACCTGTCCAAGATGAGTCCATGTGGGATGTAGACCCTCTCCAGGTCAGCAGCATAGTGCTTCGGTATGCAGAAAAGGTCCAGGTCATACCCCTGCTCCTCATCACTGATCTGAAATAAAACACGACACAAAGGGGTTAAAAAAAAAAGTCTGGGGTATTACCTTACATGGGACACGCATTCATCTGATACAGGGTAGTACGAGGGGGCAGTGGGTGGAATCTGTGCTGGTCTATGTTCAACTCCCTCCATATGTTTCACAGTTAGAGGACAGGGTGTGATTTTGGAGAACAAACATCCAGGATCTCTGCCCAGATCTGCACCGAGATTCAGATTCTTAGAAGGAGGAATCTTTTCATTATACTGTGTCATGATTAAAATCTTCCTTCACCACAACAGATCATCTCCTTCTAATTACATGTCTTTGCAGTAATTTCACACCAAGCCTAATTCTGTAAATATTTGTTTTCCTGTGTTTTTTAGTAAAATCTAATTTTCCACTCCAATATGAACTGCATGCCACAAGAACCCGGACAGCATAACTGGTATCATGTGACATTGGGAAGCTGGTGCAGAGCTGGACGTGCTGTGGGAATAAATAATGTGAGTGACTCAAAAGTCAACAAAGTCCTGTTGCTTTGCTCAATGCTGGGTTGCAAAGTGTCCATTCTATCATTGCATGAGGCTGAAGTACAAGCATTTCGCCTTATGTCTGCTCAAAGGGGAAAAACAGGTCCATATGTTCGGGCTACATCCATTCAGTTACAAATAATAGAGACTGATACTACCCAGATGTCCCTGTTTTCACCGTTAGTCATATGATTGTTGCCTGTTATTTAAGGTTTCAACATAAAATATGATAAAGAACACACTGAACAATTTTGCTGAAAAAGTCCTTGTTTGATAACAATGCTCTATTCAACTAATCTCATTTCAAATGTGATACTGGAAGTTTCACTGTCTTTTAATCCTGTTTTTAGCTAAAGGTGTATTTCATCATCTGTGTCAGTCAGTCTGAAGTTCAGACTGAGCGACGATAAAACATTGGATTTCAAGTTCAGGAAATTTCCTGAAAAATAGAGCACAGGTTACTCATTAATAGAGTCCAACACTGGTTACTCAGTTTATGTCGTATCTATAATGTGTGGTTCAGAAACACATGACCTGGTGCTCTCTCTCAAAACTGAACTGACTGACTCACACACATACATGTATTATTGAAGTGTAGAAAATCATGTTCAGTTTAGGAAAGCTAAGAAAAAGAAAAGTTTTGTGAGGAACATATGTCAGAAGAATCAAATCAACAAAACATGTTACACATAAAGTAAATTATGACAGACAGCACAGCTACAGTAAGTCTCTGTAAGCCCCTGGCAACCATGATACAATCCAATTATCATGTCTTCTGGAAAAGTCCACTAATACAGAGAAAATTGGGGTCAAAATACTAACAAATGTGCATTACATGAACTACAGATAAAAAACAGATCTGACAATGTGTGAAACAGGTTGGTTTTCACACAATGTACTGACTGTGAATTGTGTACGTTAAGTTTGCTTGGTAAACATGAGTCAGTTTACATTTATTTGTGGAGTTGATTGTGAGACTCTTTTCAAGGTCTCCAACTATCTATCTACTATAGAAAACAAGGACATCTGGGCCTTTGGCGAAGTCATGTGTAATTTCAAAGCGCACGAGATGTTTGTTTTTTTAAATAGATAGAATAACTTATCTCACCCCTCATTTAAACACATACATTTATATTGACTATACACAGTAGTCTATAACTGGATTCAATAAACTGCTTCTCATTGGTGGACTTTTCTGTTCTGCAGGGGAAATATGCAGCTAAGGCAAAAAAAATTCTAGGTAAACCACCATGGTGTCAAAAACGGTGGATGATCATATCAGACATGGAGGTTACGAATATGAGAACCACCCCTTGGAGAAAGCTTAGAGAGAGGTACTCTCTTATTTGACATCACTTCAGTCTGCACTAAATACATACAAAAACAAGGAATTAGTTATTTTCTAACTCTGGAAAAAAAAAAGAAATACCTTTAGACCTTTTGATTACTAGTGTAATATGTGTTCAGTCACAGAAGTGAACTGCACCCCCTCTCCCCCTGTGAAACCTGTTATTTCCGTGGTTATAAATAAACACGAAGCTGAGCAGTGTATCTGTGACCCCCACTATAACAGTGACAGACTGTAATACGCCCCCTCGTTAGTCCTCCTGTGTAATAATCATAATAAGTGTCTGTGTGTATAAACGTGTAATTCTTCTCACATATAAGCCGCACGTGTCCGTGACAGCTCGTCCATGCATGTTGCACACTGAGCGTGGAGGGCGCGGGCCACGCTTCATGTAAAATACGCGCATTTATTTTCCGCCGAGTGGATTCAGCACCGACAGAAAACAGTGGGAATGGTATTTTAATCACGCGTGGAATCTCTGGAAATGGCGCGTTGTTCTCTGAGCAACCTCGCCCCCCCCCTTCAGCGGTTAATGTTCGGTTGCTGGAGGAGACTCACCACCACACAGGAGCTGGATGTCGCCATGTCCGTGTCGGTGCCCGTCGGTCAGCTGTTCGCGGTCTGTGTCGAGATGAGGAAGACTACGATGTGTTCCACGATGTCCCCCTTGTGACAGCAGCACACACACACTCACACACACATGGAGGTGCAGAGCTGCTTCGCCACAAAAGGTTTTTCTGTCTTGTTCCGGAATGTGTGTGTGTGCAGGGTGTGACGCAGGAGAGCGGCGGGCAAATCGAATGTGAAAGACGGGTTAGCCCCGCCCCGCCGCGGCCTGGAGGCTCCGCCTGTGAGTGTCACCGCCGGGAGAAGGTAAAGAAAATAAAAGTCACACATACACATGGGTTCTGTCCTCTTTAGCTCCTGTCTTAGCCATCGGCAACCTGACCTCTGGGTTAACTAACTCTAAGCTGTCAAACTCTTGAGGTTTTAGTTAAAAACAGGTGACAACAATAAGTTTAAGCAACTCTGATATTGATAAACCCCAAGTGGATATAGAGAGGAGACAAAAAAGATGTCTATCTGAGAGCAACAACCAATTGTCTCTGTACTTACAAGTTTCTAAATGCGTGCTTACTGGATGTGTTTGAATGTGGCCTTCATAGAAAAAAACTGAGGATGAAGAGGGCCCTTCCAACTTCTTCATCTAACTTCTGACTGCTGATCATACAGTTCAGTGCATTATTTACATGCAATATTTTGCGAGAACCCCGTTCAATTCTATAATCGACTATGTTCAGGAGACTGCAGCGACACCATGGTCGGTCATTTCCTAACAAGCCCCCATGCAGGGAAGATTTCAGTTTGGTTCAATGCAGGGCCCCTCAGATCCCTCTTTCCTGGGATCTGAGGTCCCCAAAGTCCCTTGAAACGCCCCTGCCTATTTGTACTTGAAGAAAGGCAACTAAAAATCCAATTCAGTGAGTTGTTTGAAGATATAAAATCTTGACCACTAAATTGTATTCACACTAGCAAGAAATAAAGAAGAGACAAACGGATATTGTCTTTGTCACTGGGGAGGTGATGGGTAGGTCAGAAATGATGGTAGCATATTATGTCTCTGACTGAGAGGACACACCCTGTCTGATACCTCCTCAAGTGTGAAGATGTCAGTTGAGGAGAAGGAAAACCTGCCCACAAGCAGTTTAGCTGTGGCCATAATAACTGACTCAGAATGAAACAGAACTGTCAAATTGAAACCAAAAACAACAAGATTAGATTAGATTCAACTTTATTGTCATTGCACATGTCACAAGTACAAACCAACGAAATGCACTTTGCATCCAACCAGAAGTGCTTAAACAGTGAATAAATATATGGTACAGTATGCTTAAATATATTTATATGCTAAACAGTGAATAAGTATATGTTATAGTAGGTAGGTATATATACAGTATTAGTGATATGATTCTACCAGATATAGCTATTGACACAATATACAGGTTATATACAGTTTATGTACAGTGTACCTGGTGAAAAAGAGGCGCTGGTGAGCCTTCTTGACCAGGCTACAGCAGTTGGTTGTCCAGGTGAGGTCATGTGAGATGTGGATCCCCAGGAACTTGAAGCTGGTCACTCGCTCCACCGCGGCTCCATTGATGTGGATGGGTGGATGGGTGTCAGCATTCCTCCTGAAGTCCACGATGAGCTCTTTTGTTTTGTTGATGTTGAGCAGCAGGTTATTGTTGGTGCACCACGCAGCCAGGTGATCCACCTCCTCCCTACATTGAGACTCATCGCTGTTCTTGATGAGGCCAATCACCGTGGTGCCGTCCGCAAACTTGATTATGGTGTTGGAACCATGTACAGGTCTGCAGTCGTGGGTGAAGAGGGAGTAGAGGAATGGACTCATCACACAGCCTTGTGGTACGCCAGTGTTCAGGGCGACGGTGGAGGAGCAGTGGTGGTCTAACCGAACCTGTTGGTCAGAAAGTCAAGCAGCCAGTTGCAGGTAGGAGGTGTGATGTCCAGATCTCTGAGTTTTGAGATGAATTGGAATTGGAGGGGATGATGGTGTTGAATGCAAAAAGCAACTAACTCTGAGTTTGCGCCAACCTCTCTGAAACAGTCCTCTGAACATAACTGTCCTTGAGATCATTACCTTCAGCTAATGGTTGTTTTCTTCATGGCCTTAATCTGATAATTCAGGATTTACTGGATATCCACCACAATAACTTGAAGTGACACCTTCACGCTGCCTGTTTGATATAATGATTAAAACAATTACAAGTAAAAAGCAGCAACTCTTCACATTTGAGAAGTTAGAGCCATGAAATGTGACATATACGTTTATTAATGCAGTCCCTCCCTTTGATTTTCAGTCAATCTAATCAATTAGTTGACTTAATTTCATAAGATCTACATATGTTGAATATAAAATACTGATTTGATCATTGTTATTTACCTTATTTAACTCTCCTCCTTCATTCACTGACTGAAGAGCAGCTCCATTGTCTATGACTACACAATAAGGTGGGTTTTTTGTGTGTAGTGTGTTCAAAGTGGGGGCACTAAGATTAAAATAGTATGCTGTTGCTGTTCACAATTGACCCACAATATGATGCACAAAGGAAATAAAGAATATATTTACGGCTTTAAAATATGAAAGCAACTTGCAGAAGGTGGAGAATGAGAATGAGATGAAAGGTAAATAATTAACCAATAAAGGCTTTTAGTTGCTTCAGTTTTAAGGTCCTGGTAACGTTTACACACTGTCACATGACTAACTGAGTCATGGTTTATGTTATTTCTAAGAAAAACAGGTTTTTCTACAGTGAAAATTCAACAGTTCTGCAGTGAAAGAGTTGAATTCGCATAACTGGAACACTGAGTTGTGCAAAACTGGAAGAAGATAACATTGTGTTTGTTATAATTCCTTTTCTCTTTTATGTATGAGAGGGAATTCATTATGATACGATTAAAACGTGTTTTGAAGAATTGAATTAAAAATTCCCTGTTTATAATGCCTGCACCTAGATTACCAGAGGCTTTAATATAAATGTTAGTATAGTCAGGATTTGGCTTTCAGTTTGCTCCACTGAGGATTTCCACTCCCAGTTCTCTCAGATCTCCTGACCAGCTGCCCTGGCTACGTCATAGTTGAAGTTGACGGGCAAAGGTGATTGTGTGTTCGCTGTAGCTGCCTGAAAATTACAATTAAGTGTTCCTCTTACAATGGCAAAATTAAGGTTGAAGTCCAATATTTTTTAGGCTTTTGAATATCGAGGCCAAAGAAAAAGGACCTACTCAATTTTGATGCAGATCCAGATCAGACAGTGGATAATTTTTCATGTTCTTTAACATTGAGAGATTTTTCCTCAGAGAATAAGTCGTGGATCTTGGTGAAAAAAGAATCAGGCATGTTAAGGGGTTGGATGTGTTCAAAATAAAAATCAGGATCTAGTGAATATAAATATAATCTCATTAGGTAGGCATTCTAGTATTTTTATTTTGTAAAATTTTTCTACTTTTCTCGGGGGGGGGGATTGTACAGCATTGAAGTTGTGTGGATGACTGATTTAAATATATATATACTGTATATAAATAAAATGAAATGCATACAAGTAAAATAACTGCAGAGTAAATGTTCCAAATGGATGCATGAGAGGCTTTTACTATAAATGGAGAGTACAGCTGAGGTAGTCCTGCACTTCATGACCTTATAGCCTGTGACATTCCTCACCTGCCGGAGGACTGCTTTCTGTTTGCTGTACCATATAGACACACTTTCAAATGAAAGACTCACTCAGTAAATGTGTAAAATAAAATATTTTCTATTTCCAATCATTCATGGATACATTTGTAGAGATAAGAGTCAACAGTACATCAAACAAAGTCAAGCCAACTCTTCTAAAGAGCTCTACTTTGCCCTTTAGCAGCTAAATAAAAAAATGCCACCTTTAACAGTGGGTAAATCCAAGTGCATGCTGGCAAAACTTGTAATAGTGACTGTCTGAAATCCAGATATTCAAAATGACTCGTGATAATATTACAGTAGCAAAATATTACATATCAAGAAAGAAAGGCTAACATGAAGAGTATTCTTAAGACATGATTACAGAAACAAGGTAATCAAACAGCACAACTTCATAGTGAGACTAGTAACAAACAGACCCCACTTAAAAGGGAGTCCTTCAGAAGCTAAGGAAGAGGAAGAATGTGTCCACTTTCAGCAAGTGTGGGTCATGTAATCTGTGGGGACATGGGCACTGAGTGACAATCAACATCAGCTCCTATCACTGCAATTACACGTGTGTTTGAGACTGAGTCCATGATGGATTCTCGCTAAAGTTTAGCCATGGCTTCTCATGATCCACCAGCAGCCCCCCCCCGTGCTTTGCTCAGTACCACCAGTCTGTGAGAAGCTTGTCCAGACTACTCAAAACAGGATTTCACAAATTACACATCTGTTGCACGCTGGGGACATCGAGTCCGTTTACTGGAAGAAATTGTGTGAAGGACTCGTGGGAGATTGTAGACCACGACTTTGTGAGTGGGCTAAGATTCAGTATAAAAAAATATCTCTCCCTCGCTTGTGACTTCTGCAGTTTTCTCCCAACGTCACATCTGTCAGAACTACCTGTAAAAAAAACACATGACAAGATTTTACAAATCCTTTTTATTCTTCCTCATATTTCACATAAGGACAATTCAAGAATGTTAACAACAGTTTTTGTGTAACAACCTAGTTGCCGTTCACTTGCGTTGCAGGTGTTCCTCCATGGTCGATAGCTGCCCTCTCTCTGCTGCGATTCTCTCGTTCCTCATCTTCCTCATCCCTCTCCTCATTCCCACTGTGGTTCTTACAGTATAGTCTAAAATACAGACACAAAATACAGTAATACAAAGATATTAGTTGTAGTTTATGATGGGATTCCGTGGCGTGGTGCAGAATTGGTATTTAAGGTAATCTATGAAGTTTTTTTACACCATGTTTTAATAGCTGTTTTCAGATGTTCTCCGGAGGACCTCCAGAGAGAATTAGATCTGGACATTCTTCAGCGGTTTATTTCACACATGAACAATGCAGTGGCAGATTCTCCGCTCAGCAGCAGCAACCGATCAGCTGCAGGATTCAGCAGCAGTCAGAGACTGGTCGTGACGTATTTATTCTGCCTCGGAGATCACATGTTTTTGTTTGCATCATATTATTGTTTAC